CACTCTTCATACCAACAGACATCCAAAAGCATCTTTTCCAAAGCAAAATGCTTTCTGTCCTCATCCAGAGTAGTAATGACATCTGGAATAACTCAGTGCGATACAGATCTATGCTTTTTGCCTAACCAGCCCACTAAATATAACAGACCTCAGGGAGACCTGGACATACTAAGGGATACCGTGCCTGGACAAGTGACCATACTTCACCCACCATGTCATGGGAAACAACTGAGGAATGTGCTGGGTTTGTTACTAGCTAGTTGGTACTTGGCAAGCAAGCCAGCGTTCAGCCACAGTCCCTCTCTGGTTGGGAGAAAGGGAAAAAGAGAAAGGGAGTGTGGGGATGGAGGGAGGGAGAGATTGGCAAGCCAAGCCTGATCTGCCGACGTGGCAGCAGTGGCTGCCGAGGTCCTAGTGGGGACCGAAAGGCCAGGAAACATGTCTCCCACTGAGCGTGCTCCAGGGGGCTCTGGGTGTGGCCAGTAACATCCTTTACTCCCATTAACCAGGGAATGCCAGGCAGTGTCGTTCTTTACCTCCTATTGTGGTCACCCACACGACCACCGTGCAGTTTCCATCCAAAGAAAATAGTGAAGGTGAAATTGTGGGGGAGGGGGATGTGTGTATGTACCTGTGTGTGGTCACATGCACATGAGTGTATGTCTGCACACACACACACCCCTGGCACGGTGTTTTCCAGGGGAGACATTTTTATCACCCACACATACAACCCTAGAGCTCTCACCTTTCAGGGACGTCGGCCACCACCTCTCCTCCCCCTTCCTGCACGGTCATACCTCAGTCACCCGGAAGCCCAAGCAAAGCACATCTCCGCACCCCATGCCTCCCCATCCCCTTATCATCTTGCTAAAATTCTGCTTCAGAGTCAGCTCAAAGGCCACCCACTCTAATTCTTCTGGGATCTCTGTTACCTATTTCTTTAAACCTCCTCTGGCATTTCATGGGGTTCGTTTGCTATTTGCACCGCATGCGCACCAGGTCCGTCCCCCCTCGACTGTCCGCGCTTGGGGGCAGGACGTGGGCTGCGTTCACCTCTGTCGCCCCGACGGGCCTGAGGACTGCGCACTGCAGCCGTCCCAACGTCTCTCTTTCCTTTCTCCCCGAGCAGGGCGTGTAGGATGCATGTGCAGAACTTGCAGAGCTCTCTCCTTGTCATGTGACAATGACAAGTTGGTGCATCAGGGAGTGACACACTCCCTCTGTATTTTCACCACCTGACACACGGAAGATTCGAGGCACTTGTTCTCTGACTCCTCCTGTCAGATCATAAGCTCCGTGAGGACCCGCTTTTTGTCCATTGTGTTCCCCGTGGAACCCTCAGCCACGGGCTGGTGCATAGTAGGCATTTAATGTGTCACCGGTGTACCTGTGTGTGTGGTCATTAATTAATTTGGCAAAAGGAACAAGAGATTGGAAAACAAAATCATCTTAGTCTGCTCAGTGTTTGCGCCAGACATACCAGAAAGACATATAATAAAAACCACCCAAATTGCCACAGGATCCCAGCAATTCTGGGATTCCCCAAATCCATCGACAAATCTACAAACCCTGGGCATTGCCCTGTGGCACCTTTGCCACCACCAAGTGGCTGTCTGTCCACCTGCAGACCCACATGTCTGACCCTCTGAGAGTACATGCAGCCACCTGTCAGCTGCACACTCATACCTGCACGTTTCTTTTTCACTCAGTCACCATGGATGTGTGTTTTGGGCTGAACTGTGTCTCCACCAAAATTCCGATGTCCAAGTTGTATGCACCTGTACCTCAGAACATGACTATTTGGAGACGGGGACCTTCAAGAGGTAATAGAGATAAGACCAGGTCACTAGGGTGGGCCCCAACCCAACAGGTCTGATGTCCTTATAAGAAGGGGAGTTTAGGACACAGACACACACAGAGGAAAGACCACATGAGGACACAGGGAGAAGACAGCCGTCTGCAAGATGAAGAGAGGCCTCGAAGGACGTGTACCCTGCTGACGCCTTCCCTTGTACTTCTCACCCCCAGAACTGTAAGAAAATAAATTTCTGTTGTTTAAGCCCCGCAGCCCAGTCTGTGGTACCTTGTTATGGCCGGTTGAATGCAGGCCAGTAACCCCAGTGATAAATAAAATGGTGTGGACACCAAGGAAGGAGGGGGAGAAAAGAAACAAACAAAGGTATACGTGTTGACATTTTTTTTTATATTTGGTATTTGTAAGTCTTTTTAAAAAAATTTTTTTTCAGGCCATTTTTTCCTTACAAAACAAAGAAAAGCAACCAACAGCAATACTCTGTACAAGTATAACAAACATTAGAAATATGCATCATTCCAAAATAGTTACAAGAAAATTACAGTTTTAGAGTCTACATCAACACATCCTATCCATATGTGCCCCAAGCGGGGAGAGCTACAGTATGTAGAACACTCAACTGCTCTGGATAGTCTGAATATGCAGAACTTGGGACTTGGGAGGCAAATCCACATCAGCCACCAAGTCCTGTTGAGCTCAATAAGCACAATCAAGCATTCCGAAAGAAAACCAGGCTTTTTCATCCCAGATGAAAAGCAAAGGCCAGTCAGCTGCGCAGTCGGCCCCCTACCCCCCAGGAGCCCCTGACTTGGCGAGGCCCAAATCCAGTGGAGTCAATGATTCCAAGTCTAGCTGGAGGTCACTACATGGTCACAGAGAGCAGACCCGAAATGTCCTTTCCTCCTGGCGCCCACTGTCACTAGATTTACCTTTGGAGGCTAAGTGTCTTGGCTCTGAGAGGAAGAGATCCCATGACCCAAACCACCCCTCCCCCGCCGCGCACACACACCACTGCCCACCAACCTTGGGCTCTTAGACCGACCACTGGTCCCACCCTGGCTGCCTTCTTGTAAGCAGCCCCCTATGCGGAGGGCGATTCCACCAGCTCCACGCTTCCACTGGGCTCCTCAAGTCTGAGCTCATTGTTCCTGGGAGGGTTTGGGGCAGGAGCTCAAAAGCATCTTCCTCTTTCCTGTGACTGCCACCCCCACATGCCCTGTGTCCTTCATATTTTCACACATTAATCTTCCCTTTCAATCACCGTGTTATAAACACGGTCCCCGCTCCACAGGCCGCATCCGCAGCCGTCCTCAGGATGCAGAGAGGCATCGTGACCTCCGGGCGACCTGCCATTGGGAATCCAGATGGCCCCACACGAGCCTTCCCCTGGGATCCGGAATGAGCCAGGCAGCAGATCGGGGGTCTACTGTCCGGTTCCCAGGCCCACACCAGGCGGAAGAGAGGAGGGTTTATGTTTTTTGAGTTTTTACACAACATGGTTATAATTATTGTTGTTCTCATAGTTTTAAAGGAATTTTTAGGGCCGAGTCCTTCCCTCTGCCGTCTCCATGGCAGCGATGTGGGCAGAGCAGGGCAGGGCAGGGCAGGGCATCTCCATGGGATTTGACATCTAGACCACACCGGTCACAATGGTTTCCTGACAAACTGGAGTGGGGAGGGGTGTGGCCCCGGAGGGGCCGCCCAAACAGGGACCTCGGAGGCAGCTGTGGAACGCACCGAGGTCTGCCCGCGCCGGGCCAGACAGCGTGAGGGTTTGGAAGCGATCGCCCAACCCCAGCTGCACTCAACGCCTGGAGCGGCGTGGCCTCCCTGAAACCTACAGGGCCAAAGGTCCCTCTGCAGTTGAGTCAAGAGGGCCCGGCCCAGCCTGGCCAACCCATCCCTTCAAGGGTCTGATATGGAATGAACTGCTTACTACCAAAGACAGCAAAGGGTTCAGCAAAAAGTGCAATTTCCATTTGGGAAGTCAGGGCCTCCCAACACATGACACCACCGCCACCTCTCCTTTTAATTTTTTCGGTACCTCAGAGGAAAAGGGGGACAGAAGATGTACAACGCTAACCCCTGAACTGAATCGAGGGCGTCAGTACGTTGTGGGTCATCCTTCATAACCCCAAAATACCCAGTCACATGTCCAGTCAGTCATCAAAGTGCCGGTGAGCTGAGAAGCGAGGCAGGGTCCGGGGACGGGCTCCCGCGGGGCCCAGCGGCCAGGGCGCTCAGAGGAGACCCGCTCCCGTCTTCCGTAGGACACGCGTCCTACGTTTACAGCAGGATTTATGGCTGTGGCAAATGGCCACGGGCTTTCGGGGACTTGGACATTCCTTCATAAGACCTTCTACACTTCATTGCCTATTGGAGGATACACTCGAAACTTCTTCACAATATAACCTGAGCCACAATATAAAATAAAAAGAAACAAATCCTTTCATGTTAATGCCTTGAGAGGTTGACAGATTATGTACCAATAAAATAAATCCACATAAATTCTGAAATTCTTGGTGGATACACATCTGAAGCAAAAAAAAAAAAAAAAAAAAAGTTAATCTACATTTTTTTTTAAATCAAAGTAATTACAGCAGCAGTATAGTGAAAGAGGTTTTAAAAATAATAATTACATCTTTGATACAAATTCAAACTTTGTACACCTCAATTCAAAGGAATGACTGTTTAAGGGTTTAGTATACATATATATACAGTAGATACCGATACTTGTCACTGCAGATGGACTAAAGCCAGCGGACTTTGAAGGAGGAGGAATTAATTTGACACTGTTTTCACGCTAAGTGTTCACAGATTGCCACGCTTTTAAAAACATACACACATATACACAGACACACATAAAATGCCAACCTGAGTAAAACATTACTAAAAACCTAGAGCATCATGAATCACTAAGTCACATATTGCACCTTTAAATAATCCTTCTTACCACATACAGAAATGAGAAAAAGGATAAAACAGGGACTAGAAAAGGAGAGTCCATCGCTGGAAGGTTCTTTTGCTTCCCCCAACCTCAAAATTCTCAAGGTGATATTTAGTTCCCATTCTCAACCAACGGGCTGAAAATGTGCCCGGCAGACCTGTCTTTGGGAAAAACGGGGAGGGAAAAGGGAAGAAGGACTAGAACACAAAACGGGGTGGGGGAGGGGGAGGGGCTCGGGCGGGGGGGACATTGGGGGCCTCCTCGAATCGAATAAGAACAGGAATGTTACTGAGAAGGCTGAACTTCTGGTCCTAAACTACTGTTTAAATATTCCACATATTCCAATTATGAGATTCAATACAAAAATATAGAAATCTACTGAGTTTTGCCTGTGGAAGCATAATTCAGAAAAGGCACATGTTCAAATAGAAAACCCAGGCGAGGCGGCGCCGCCGACGCCTCCTGCAGGACCGTCATGCACAGTTAAGCAGTTTCCATCAGCTAGACTCCGAGATACAGTAGCTAAAAATAGACCTCTGATAGTTAAAATATATTCAACCCAACACAATCCTGGCTTTAGCATGTGGATCATATAAAATAGTCTTTAAAAAAAAAAATCTGTTTTGAAAAAAAAAAAAAAAATCATAGCTCACTTGCCTAGTTTTCCATCATTCTCAAGGAAAAGAGAAGTGAACTCATCCCATTGGTAACCAGGAATGTAACTGATGGGCTCACCCCCCACCCACAGCCCCCGACGGCCCCAACGTCCCGTTTGTCATGTGTCACGTGTGCAGCTTCACACCCTCAATTAGTTCTAACAAAACAGAACAATGAATGAAGATATCGGACATATAAAAACGTGTCAACATTGGGGCATTTTCCTTTGCGGTGGGTGTGGTGGTCTAGTTAACTCCAGACCGGGCTGCCTTTGGAATTAGGCGATGTAACCATTTGTTTGCCCAAACGTGGTCATGGGCGTGAGGTTTTCATAGATTGTCATTGCAGTCGTGTTCTGGTAGATGAGATCTACTTTCGAGTCCCTCTGGGATCTGATAATATCCAAAACACACTGATTGAGGAACACATACTGGTCCTGTTAGAAAAGGGAAAAGGAGAAAGCAAATGAGCACCGGCCCCAGAGGTTAGCACCCAACGTTAGTTTCAAACAGATTGCCACGCCCCAACCCCACCTGCCCCACAGCAAACACTCCACGTTCACAGGTGTCAAGGGGGAATCACATACTGGTGAAATCTGAACCCCAGGGGAGCAAGAATCTCATCATCAGTGACTGACAGCAAGAGGGGCAGACGCCCCAGAACTCCACTCGGCTAGACTCCGAGATACGATAGGTAAAAACAACCTCTGCTACTTCAACTATATTCAACCCAACACAATCCTGGCTTTAACATGTGGATCATATAAAAAAAGTCTTTGAAAAAAAAAATCTGTTTTGAAAAAGAAAAAAGTCACAGATCATTTTTCCTGGTTTTCCATAATTGTCAAGGAAAAAAGAAGTGAACTCATCCCATTGGTAACCAGGAATGCAACTTACGGGCTCAGCCCACCCACAGCCCCCGACGGCCCCCACTTCTCGCCTGGCATGCGTTCTGTGTGCAGCTTCACACCCAAGGAGAAATGCCAGAATCTTGGGGAAGGACAAAGAAAGAATTAGAGGTGCTAATGCAGAACAGTGAGGATGTGCAGAACACGGGGTGAGCTGTGATCCTCAGCAGAGGGGGTGGGCCGAGGGGGATGGGCAGGGTAGAGCTGGGTGGAGACCACCTGTAGGCAAACTATCAGAATCTCAGGTGTCCATTAAAAAGAGACAGAGGAGGTATATGCTGACACAGGAGAATATCCATGACGCTGTCAAAGAGAAAAATCACAGGGCAGCATCATATATAAAATAGGATCCAAAAGCTACTCTGTCTCCGTGTGTGTACATGGGTTTTTCTACAGCTATACCCAAAATAGCCTATGAAAAGATACATAAAACTGTAAACACTGGCTACCTCTAGGGAGTGTGATTGAAAGAAAAAAGTAAAAGATAAAAACATATTCTATATAATTCTGTACTGTCATATGTTTCAATATCAACAGTTAATATTATTTCCAAAACACTTTATGAAAAAGGGACATGAAAAGAATTTGCAGGCAGGTGTAAGACTTTTGAGTTTCTCAAAGGAGGAAAAAAGATTGAGAACCACTGCTCTACATAATTGGAATAGAAAAAAGAAAATCTCTCTTCTGACCAACACTGGAGGGGGTTTCCACACTTTCCACCACAACCACGCCGCTCACCCCCAGGCACACAGTGTACCCAGGCCTCTAGAACATTCCCTGCTGGCTCAAGGACAGAGCACACATTCACAGAGTTCTAAATGGGTGCACGGCAACCGCCTGAGGCAAAATTAATATTCTGCTCTCATCCTGGTGGGGGCCGATTCAACCCCGCAGCTTGAGAAAGGCCACTTCCCAGTATACTGGTTGAGAACATGCCTTGAAAACGACGTTTATCGGGAACACTTCACGGAAAGCCAAATCTAACACAAGCGACACTGTAGAGACGAAGCATTCATTTTCTCACTTGCTCACCATCCTCCCGCAGCTACGTAGCTGATGCCCTTTAACATTCACAAGGCTGGGTGTGGCTACACCACTGTATCAATGCTTAAAGCGGCAACATGCTATGTCATATTACTAATATTTGATAAGCTTGTCCCCTAGGTTCATTTAAGGACGGTCAGCGCTTCTTAACACCAAAGATTGAAAATGCCAGTTTTATGAGCGTGACATCTGGAAGCCAAAGCTCAGACACTGGCTGAGGCCGTCTGGTGAGCCACCGGCAGCCAGGACCCTGACACTGTCAAGGGTTGTAGCGCCACCGCCGCCGCCTATGTCACAGGGAGTTCAAGCCCATGTCAGTTTCGGATCTTAAAAAAATCAGTGTTACACCATGGCTGAGAGCCAGAAAGATCTGAAAGGGTGAAGCAGTTTAGCACAAACGTGTGTCCCGATACAACCTGCTAAAAACAAACAGGAAAGGCAGACGGTCAGGCAGCTGTTGGCCTCACCTCTGTTTGCACCATTAAAGGCCTGTGCATTCGAAGGTCGTACACAATCCCGTACACATCCACGGCGTTCTCGTTCTCCATCTGATAGATGAGACGGTCGATGGCGATGAACGTGCCCGTCCTCCCAACGCCAGCACTATAAGAGAAGAGAAACGAGCACATCGCCGCGTGTTACCTCTGCTGCACGACTCTCACATTTCCTGTGTGTGGAGCTTGCTCTCCACCGCTACCAGGCTTTGAGGGGAGAGCCCAGGACCATCCACCATATGCCCAGTTGAAGCCTCAGCAAGTCAGGCTGCACTAGCTTGGGACGCAGGCCCAAAGCCCATCAGTTCCTTTGGAGTCAAATGCCACAAACAAAATATCTTGCGAGGGCTTCTTGAACCTCAGTCCTGCTCAGGCCCCCGTCATGAGCTAGGATGGCAAGTTTCACCAATTTAGTCCCCACAGGGCATCAGAGCCCCTCCTTTCTGCCATCTTAAAGTTAATTCCTTTAGCTTTAAAGGTAATGTCAATTGTTCGAGGGGTGGGGAGTGGCAAACTTCTTCTGTAAAGGGCCAGACAGGAAGTGTCCTCAGCTTGCAACCAAATGGCCCCTTTCTGCCATCGCAGCATGAAAGTAACTACAATGTGTAAACAAACGAGAATGGCCACGTTCCAGTAACGCTTTACACAAATAGGCAGCCAAAAAGATCCTGGTGATAGTTTCCTGGGTATCACGCACTTATCCCCACACTCATCAAGCTGTATATAGTATGTGCTGTTTTTGTGTGTCAGAAAACATTTTTAAATGAACAATAAAACAAATTAGAATTATGTGTTTCAACATTGTTAAATAACAAACATGCCTAATGAAGAAAGCAGGTTGCAGAATGATGTATATACGATAAAATCTGGTGCAAGTTTAAAGCTATATGAAACTACGGAGATGTGTGTATATGTAATAAAATACAAAAGCATGCAAGGGAACAATGCAGACAGACTTTAGAATCACGTTCACCTATGTGAGGAGCATGGGATAGGAGACCAGTTAAGTGGAGACTTTACATCTATAATGTATTACTAACAGTAAGAAACATATGTAGCCTCATGTGATGCTTTATTAAATTGTTATTATTCTCTATATTTTTGTAAGATTAAGATACTTCACAATAAACATTATAAATATGAAATACCTTAAAATACATCATGGCTTTAAAAAATATGTAAGCAACCTACTAAGGCTGGCCCACAAGCTACAGTTTGCCAATCCCTGTCCCAGGGTTTTGGGAATAAATTGCAGTCCCTTATCCAAACCCTTCCGGAATTCGTAAATGCCTACTGCCTCATTCGGTCTCATACCCTGCTTTTCCAGAGTGATCCTACTTACAATTGCCTTTGAAAGCTGTCACACACAGGGAGCGCTATCTGCCTACCTGCAATGCACCAGAACTGGCGATTCGGGAGGACTCTGCTTCATGTAGTCGCGAACCAGATACCGAAAGTTGATGAGCAGGTCGGTGGTGTCGGGCACCCCATGGTCAGGCCAGGAGGTGAAGTGGAACTGTCGCAGAGGGTGGCTGTCACTAGTCAGGTTCTAAAAGCCAAGAGCAGCGGTTAGATCCAGAGAGAAAGGCTGCCTAGCAACACCCGAAGGGCTAGTGAAATCAAGCAGCACCTGCAGGCTGAACCGCACCAGGTGGCTGAAAGGTGGCTAAACAGGAGTGGTTACGACTAGAAACTGGAATTCTGCACTGGTGCAACAGCTGATAAAGTGCTTGCACAGACTTTGATGTGCTCATCAAATCCCCTTAAAGGACAAGAGAGCAAAGGTTCCGAGAAGTACAGTGACGTCCCCTACAGTCAGCCCAGCTGCAGGGTCCCTCATTCTCTGGCGTTGAGTTCGGGACTCTCCCCTTTCCCAGCAGTTTTCTGCCAACAGCGTGCTCACATCCTCACACCTACAACTGCGTAGAGCTTCCCCAACCCCCTCCCTGGGCCCACATGGGAATGTCGCTAACCTAAAATAAACGTACACAAATACAATTATGATGCTCGGTCCCTTAAGGGCAAGAACTGCCTCGTAATTCATGTGTCTTCCAGGGAATCTAAAAACATGGTGGACACATAGCAAGCACCAAGTAAATATGTAGAATTGGAGGCATTTGAGAAAGGACCTTCCCCCAAAAAATATCTATGTCAACATCAGACAGACAATAGAAAGTGAACCTTGGTATAACCGAGTTACATAGCTGTTGCCTTGATTATCAGAACTCCACCCAGGCGGGGCCCTTCCTGCCCCTGATTCAACTGTGCTCATTATGCCCGCAGCCAGGCACTGCCCCCCGCCCGCGCGGACCCGCCTCTGGGCTGCAGGCATTTCCATCTCAATCTCCTTCCAGCCTCTTCTCTTACGCACTATTCGTGATATGCATAAAACCTTGTCTCCGAGTATATTCACCTAACTATATTCCTGGTAATTATCCAGTCTACATAGCTATCATTACTCATAGCTGAAAAATGATACAATGACTATAAAACCTATAGTTATCCGTTCTCCAAAAGCTAGATCCATGCACGGTTTCCAAATCACATCCCCGCACCATTACAAATAAAGCTGAGATTCATTTTTATATATAATAGGCCGCTCCTGTATTTCAGATTGTTTCTTTGAGACAGATTCTCAAACCACCAGATCAAAGGGGAATGGATAATTTTATGCCTTTGATATAAACTGCAAAGGGTTATGCCAATTTATACATGCCCATCAGAAGATATCAGTGTTATTTCCTGACACTGCTTCTCTTTCTAAACACCCTTGAAAAAAGAAAAAGACACATAAGTTGACTTCCTAAAATGCCTACACAATTTATTAGACTTGTTTTCATAATTTTGGGGGGGTAAGGGAAGCCATGTGGCCATGCCCTGGAATCCTGTTAACGAAACTGTTACCATGAACTGCTCCCACAGGAAGTGGCGTTCCTGATGTCACATTTCTGACCGACCAATCCGAAAGGACCTTGCTTTGTAACCAAAGCTCTACACACAAGCCACCTGGAAGTGGGAGGAAAGAGCGACGGGCACTGAGCCACACTCTTAAGGTCCACATTAGTCAAGAGTAACGTGAAACGCTCCTTGAGACAGTAAAGCTAAAGGGCTGCCTTAGAGTTTGTATAGACCTGAATAGTTTATTCTGTAAAGAGGAAAGCAAAAATGTTTTTCGGATGCATAAAAACAATATTGGTTAAGATTAACCTAAAAAGTGTCACCCCTAAAATTAACACAGGGTAATATTACGAGACCGGAGCATCTTGACTTTTTACTTACATTTTTCACCGTGAAGTCTCTGATGGTCCATTCTGGAAGAACAATCTCGGACGTCATTGCCACAGTGATGCTCCCAAAGTCCTTGGACTGCTTGGAAGGCCAGTACTCCTCGCATTTGGTCTAGAATAAAAGTGCATTTTTATACAAAACTCAGATCACGCCATCTGCTGTCACTAAAACCTCACAGGGGAGACCAGATATTGACAACTGGCATGAGGGACTGATTAAGTCCTTTAGTTGGGTTCTGCTTGACCCTTAAAATTTTTTTTTTAATTTACAACTGTTGCCAACTTTTTTTAAATTGGAAGTTTTTCATAAAAATCCAGATTTCTGGCTTCTCTTTGAAAAAAATCAGAAAATCTGGCCAACACACAGCCCCTATTTCTGCATGAAAATTGATTTAGAGCTGAGCAGCAGCTGTAACCTCTCAGGGGACACAGTCCCACCAGCTCCCACTGGCGCCTTCAGCAACCCCTCCACATCTGTTCCCCGAACTAAATGTCTCCCATCGACCCACAACCACGTGCAGCTGGAAGAAATGAGACCTTTCCCCACTACTGTCAGAGACACATGAACAGCAATACAACTCTAGACACGAGGAAAAGCATCAAATTAAACCATTTCAGGATTTCGGATCCTATAAAGTGGGTGAGCAAATAGGACCAGAAATAAAAACCAAGAAACGACTATTCTCTGAAAATATCTGCAACCACATGTAGCAAACAAAAGATGCGCGAGCGCAGACGCACACTCAACTTTCCAAAGCGTGCTCTCCAGCCAGCTGGTGGTTTCCAAGCCTGGTTGATTATCTGAGTGACCCGGGAGGTCTGTTCCACTTTCAGAACAGATGCCTGGATCCCACCCCCAGAGGCTCTGACCCAGGCAGGGGATCTGTATCTTTTGAAAGATCCCAGCTTCTGGACTGCTGCTCCATGAAAGGACACAGGGTTTGGACCCACACTGACGCTCAGCCTGTTAACCAGCTGGATTTTTGTTGCTACCTCGTCAGCAAGGTCTTAAAACTCTCTGAACCCCCGTTTCTCCATCTATAAAATAATGATAATACCTTACAGGATTGTTAGAGGCAAAAAAATAATAATAATATAAAGGGTCTGGCAGAAGCAACGCTTGCTTTAATGTGGTCGGTAGAATAATAATATAGTGTAATAATTTATAGTGTTAATTTGAACACTGCACCTAAAATGGCATAGGATGTGCTTGAGTGTGATACTGTTATGCTACAGGATTACATGCTTACAATTTTGTAATAAAAGACTTTGTAATAAGAAAAGGGGTGTTATTTGTACCAGACCCTGCGTATGGAGTTTTCTTGTGCAGAAAATATACTGGGGCCCCCTTTCCCTTCACTCAGAGTCCATATCATCCACTTCTCTCCCGACTGAAGATGAACCAGGGCCCATCTAAATTCATCTTCATGTTCTTTGTTAATTTCACTACCTCATTTTTGTTTGTCTAACGGATATTTATAATAATGTTCCATGTGTGAGGCACTGGGCTAAAAGGCACCATGAAGTTGACTTGCATTCACAGTGTTCTTTTGTTTGCATTAATGGCCTGTTGTCCTGAAACAAAAGAGAGTGCAGAGCCCTAACTTCTGTATCACAAGAAATGTGAAGATGGAAACCATCTCTTGCTGTTCTTTCTTGCCTGTCTCTCCTCCATGCCCCGCCCCTAACCCAGGACCTCACACAGACTTGGGGCTGGAAAAACACCTGCTATATATCAAAGTGGAGTAAAGAACATTAAAAGCAATGATGCCCAATGGGTTCCCACTAGCACCTCGGACAGTGCTACTCAAAGCGCGCACCTGGAGCAGCAAGAGCAGCCGCCCCAGGACTGTTACGATGCAATTCCTGGGCCCCACCACAGGCTTTCTGAATGAGAAAGTCCAAAAGTGTTTCTGAGGCACATCAAAGTTTGAAAACCACTGGCTTAGGGACTCGAGTCCTATCCTCTTCCTCAAATAACAGATCTACGTGAAAAAATTCAGAGCAACATTAGGTCCTATTCCTCAGGCACAGAATTTCTGAATTTAGCATGTTCTCCTATTCTCCTCAGATCCACTTATGGAAACATGGGATTTTATTATTAGAAGAAATCGTATCTTTAATAGAAGCAGCCACGGCATTCCAGGCCATCAGACAGGGGCAAGGACTCCTGAGACTTATCTGGGGAGAAGTCTGGGATTTTGCATAAAGAAGTTTCCGGTGCTAAATATCAAGTTTGGAAATCGCCAAGTTGGTTGAGTACCACGTCTCACAGATGAAGAAGCTGGTTGCTTAGAGACACAACGAGCTTGCAGCCAATCACAGAGCTGGAGAAAGGAGGAGCTGTGCCGTGAGTGAGTTTCCCACATGCTAACCCAACTCCTGGCACTAACCAACGCCAGCAGCGGTGACTTAATGAACAGAAAATACTATTTGTCCACAAATGAAGGTGATAATAATGGATTATTTAAAAATTTTTTTACTCTGTATTTTATTTTATTTTAAATAAGATTTTTTTTCACCTTTCACTTGAGGAACAAAAAGACGGAAAACAAGTTTCTAAGAATAGAGGTGTTCATGTTTGGTGAAGTGTGTGTGTGTTTTTTTAAGACACATGGGAAAAAATAAAAAGGGCAAATAGGTTTTAAGAGACCCTTCCACCATAGCAAAAAATGAATGAATTTACTTAATTTAATCATAGATATCTTTTAAAATGCTTACCCTGCCCTGTTCAACACATTTGGTCAACATGACGATAGCATATACATTTTTCTCCCAAACCATTCGCCAGAAGTCTTTCAAGGTGTTGGGTAAAGGTCCTTGTGTGGCAATAAAATCTTTCTTAGAATGGTACCCCTGAAAAATGGAAAGCAGCACATACTAAATGTCAAAGAAACAGAAGGAGGGGCTCTGGAGGGTCCCCCCACAAGCCAGCGCTAGGGAACACCTCCCCACTTACAGGCATGTAGTTGGCATTGATGTAGTCGTCAGCAGAGTGGGTGTGGACTGAAAGTTTGACCCGAGAGATATCATCTGTGACATCAAGAGAAAAAAGTCCTCATGAGGAGCAAACATTTGAGGGGAGTTACTTACGAGGCAGAAAAAAGAGGTCCCAGATGGCAACACAGGGGCTCTGTCACCCCCGGAAGGCACACAGGTTGGACTTTTACACACGCGGCCCTGTTTAACCCTCCTGGGCGCCCTGTGTCACGTGGCACAGAGGGTTCTGTGGTGTCAGTGGCAGAACCAAGGATGGAATCCAGGCGGCCTGCCAGTTACTTTGTCCCCCAAACCACCCTACAAGCTTTTGTGCCCATTTTACAGATGAGGAAACGGCGTTGGAGAGGTTAAGTGACTTCTCCAGGCACTTTTATCTTGTGAATGGCAGTCAGAATTCAAAGCTAGTGCTTTTTCCCCTAGGAATAAATAAGTTTGCCATAGTGGGTAGATATTGAAGTTAACCTTTCCACCCTTTTCACACTTCCTCTAATCTCCAAAAAAAACAAACAAAAAAAAGTTGTCATAAAAAGGCAGTACCAAGTCCAAGATAAACTGAATGTATAAGATCACTATGGGAGGGAGGATCTAAAATGTAAAGATCTCATGTTTTCTAAGTTGTGTCATCTCAAACACACACAAATGTGCCCACTCAAAAAATAAAATAATATCCTTAGATTCGAACGTCAAACGGAGTTATAAGCAACACCACCGATGCTTCCCCGTCTTTGACTGCCTGCTCTCTCACCCTCCCCTGGAAAAAAATAATATCACAATGCCAACCCTGGTTATAAAGTGAGTTCCAGCCCAAAATATTCCAATAAAAACAATACCCGAACTCTGGATCTGAAAATCTGCACAGACGGTCACAAGAGCTGGCCAATAACCCCTTGTTAACCCTGGAAGAGCAGTGCTGGGGTGGGGGCTACCCACCCCGTTTTAAAAGTGTTTCTCGCAGAATATGGATCAACATCCACTGTCAATACAAGGGGTGGGGGAAATGGAGAGAAAGAATCCAGGAGCGAGAAAATCCTGAATCTTAAACAGAAGTTAACATTTCAGGCCAGGGAAGAAAAACCAGCTTCACATAAAGAGGCAATGTCTCTAAATGTGCCGCTGTAAAAATTATCGGCAGAGCCTAACAAGTTCAGCTAAGTCAGAACACAGTTATAACCTATGGACACTTCTTTCTGTGCCCGGATTCCCACCCAAAAGAGACACCACAAAGGACGCTCTACGGGAAAGAGTTTTTGTCTTTATGAATGATTTAATAAATAATTACCATTTTAAACTCCGTTTGCTGCTATCCCTGTCCATTAGGCTGCAGACCTTGTGAATTCTCAAAAACAGGAGTGTATCCAAATGTAATTCATATTCTGCCATGAAATGTCCTCAGCCCTCCAGAGAGAGACATGTCTTGACAAGCAGAAAGTGTCACCCCCTGTCTGCCCTCCTCCTACCCCTTCCTTCCAGAACTATACTGACAGCAACGAAGGAGCTGGGGTGGGGGGGAGGCGGTGAACAGCACAGACCCCGGAGAGGGGGGGTGCTGAGGGGCGGGGGGAGAACGGCGGAGGATGGGTGGTGGCAGGGCAGCCACAGGGATGGAAAGTATGGCGCAGGAAAGGCAATCAATAGCATTGTAATGACTACGTGCGGTGCCAGGTGGGTACTGGGATTATCAGGGGGACCCTTTGTAAAGTATACGGTTGTCTCACCGCTGTGCTGTACACCTGCAACTAATACAAAATAAGACAGCTGAAGGTCAACTGTAATTGGAAAACATTTTTAGAATTAAGGGAAAAAATTTAAAAAGCACAGGCTTTGGCCTTGTCCCTGAACGAAAGTGACAGATCTTGGCCAAGCCTGACTGTGCGACTTTGGACAAATCACTTACTCACTCTGTGCCTCCTATTCCTCATCTGCAAAGTGAATGGCCTGCTCCCCATTCCATAAGGTTGTTGCAAGGACTGAATTCAACAGAACATCCCTAAGTGCAGTGCTTAGCACACAGCAAATGAACGGCTGTGGAAGTAGCTGGTTGGTATCGTGATTCCCCTCCCCTTCTACCGTTCGAGGGAAGATTGTGTGCAAAAATCAACTTACAAGGCAGAACATTATTATAGCGATTCTTTCCTCTATTCTCAGCCAGTTCGGCTGCGTATTTAGGTTGATTAATTCCAACAAGCTTCAGATCCTGAAAAAAAACAAATGAGTTGTTCACTTAGTTAGTGTTCAAATATTATTTATACTGAGCACAGAGAGTGACAGAATAAAGTGGGAAGGCAACGCGACTGTGGCCTGCCCTACAGTGTTAAATAGCATGTATTTCCTATGCTGCAGGACGGGCACACGTGGAGGGTGGCGGGCGTGGCCCTTCAGCGGGAGGGGGTCCAGCTGGTTTGGGGGTGAGGCTTATAAGGGACTGAAAGACAGAAGCTCTTTCCACATGACGTCACCGAATCCTCCAGAATCCGCCCCCACCAACAGCCTCAGCTGCAGCCCCGCCAATGCCCCACCTGGTGACTTTCCAGCTTGTATATGTCCTAATTCCTTTAGTTAACAGTCCTCTAACTTAAGTTCCCAGGTTCTATATCTCTGCATAATCTTCAGGGATCAACACCGCAAGGAGCCAAGGTCCATCTAAGCGCTCACAGCCCACACAGCAGCGGTGAGACCCCAGGGGGTACACAAGAGCTTCTCTGCCCCCGCCCCCTCAGAAGGGTCACCTCTTACCCAGAGCTTCACCACAAAACAAAAAATGGGCAGTTTTACAACTTTCAGGAAGAACAAAGCAATGAAAGCACAATATTTACAACCACATACTTCATATTCTTCTGCAAATCCACAGTTGGAGTCAGCCTGTTGTTTCTTGAAGTAGGCCTCAAAATTCTCCACTTTGATTAACTTGGACCTAAGAAAACAGAACAGCATGGGAGGATTCTTACATTCAATAAGGTTGAAAGAGAAAAATACAAGGTTTTTGTTTTTTTTTTAAAGCAAAGAGCTTACTCACTTTTTAGGTCTTCATCATAGAAAGGGAAAGAAAAAAAAATATGCAGTTAGGAAAAAACACTCAACCATGCCTCTGGAGATAAACATCTTCCCAAGACAAAAAACATATAGCATAATATTTTGTAGGGAAGGGGAATTGGGGGAGTGGTCAGTGTAATATTATTTACAAAATTCGGCATCAGGAAACTCCACTTCTAGACCCTCTGATAAAACTGATTGGCTCTATAACTCTGAGCGAGTTCTCTGCCCCTACGTCTTGATGACCTATTTTCTAATCACAAAACATGTATTTATCAGTAGAATGTTGGTAGAATATGGTCAGTATGGTCCTACTTGCAACAGCAGCACGTGGCAGGAAACCAGCTACAGGATCCTGCTAAACACACATTCCCTGCAGAACAGCAAGGCTAGCAAGAGCTTCTGGATGGTCACAGCCAAATGTGTCAATCAGGAAAAATGACAGCAAGTTCCACCAAAAATTCTCTACTTACTGAACAACTGGTGGACTGAAGCACTTAAAATAAAGCTCATAACTTTATATTGTTATAGATAAACATAACTGGAGACTTACTTGATTTGAGAAAAGGGCAAGTCATTGTGCTTTGCATCTTTCCTGTTGTAAAAGAAAAAAATATATATTAGACAAAAAGGTTAATTCTGTCTTTTGCCCCTTTCACAGGTCTACAAAATGCCTTCCCTGGGTGTTAGTTCATACGCAACACTTATCCTGCTCACTGATACTAAGCTCAATGGTCTAAGCAACAAATGCTGATTATAAAGCTGTGGAGTTTCACCCTGGCTGGTATGGCTCAGTGGATTGAGTGCCAGCCTGCAAAATGAAGAGTTGCTGGATCGATTCCCAGTCAAGGCACCTGCCTGGGTTGTGGGCTGGGTCCCCAGTTGAGGGCACGCGAGAGACAACCAATTGATGTATCTCTCGTACATTGACGTTTCTCTCCCTTTCTTTCCCCCTCCCTTCTCCTTGCTCTGGAAATAAATAAAATCCTTTTATTAAAAAAACTGTGAGGTTTCTCTCTTTCATAACATCCAAAAGCATGGAAGACTCTTACTCAAGCAGCTTTTAGGAAATTCCTTGTATAAATATCTATCAGCAGCATTACCTTATTGTAAAGTGAGACTCATTTATTCCATACTCTTTTTAAAAAGTCTTTCTGATAAGTTAATGGAATAAACCAGAAAATATATCCAGCACAAGGAAGGTAGTGAGGCCTCTGGTGCTCTCCTGTACCCTTGGCTAAACCCACACAGGTGTTTAAAAAAAAACTTTCTGGAAGGCAATTTGGCATGAGTGTCAAAATCAAAAACCTGTGTACCCACTGACTCAGCCACTGCTTGCGCCCAAAGATTTGGGCACAAGGATAAATGACTATGGCAAAGGAAAAAAAAAAGGAAATTGGTTGTAATAGCCATACAGTTGAATACTCTGTGTCCACTTAAAGACAAAATGAAGCTGTCCACATGTCTTAAGTGAATAAAGCAAGCTAGAGAATAATATAATATGATTCCACTTGTGTATGTATGTCTGTATTTGCATGCAAGTTTTGTAATAACATCATTGTCAAAGGTGTTTCATATGGGTGCTGCAGTTATGGATTATCTTTTTTTTTGCTCTCCTTTTGCTTATTCTTTTTTTTACACAGTATGTATCACTTTTATTTTAACAAGATATAATAATGCTGCTTTTGACCCCTCTCTTGCAAGGAAAAGAAAAGTATCAGCATCTAATGCAAAAAGCTGGACAGCGAGCACTGCCTATTAACTGACCAGGGCAAAGCGGTGGCAGAAGAACCGGACGTGGCCACAGGAGAACCCCTGGGCCAGGGTGAAAATTCCCTGGCTGGCAGCGCCTAACGACAGCGACACATCCCAGCAGATTAACACTGGCTTCGCACACCACACAGTCGGGCAAGAGGGTGTGCAAGGAAGAACAAAGACCAGCTTCCAGTCCATTCCCACACTTCTACACTCGGCTTCCTCCTTGCAGTGGGGCTTATAGGACTTACCTCCCAGAGCCTCACGAGTAAGAGAATTTACGGGAAGCACAAATCCAGGCACACAGTAAGCAATCAAAACAGAGCTGTTGTTTTTACTATTTAACTACCTCAAACGGTAGCTGTACAGATGGACTAATCCTGTAACCATAGCAGACGAGGCACAGATGCTGCGCGAAGCGCTTTTCTTTCTTCAGTGCTCTTCGGCGTCATGAGCCGGACCCTGGCACCGTCCCCCGATCGCAGGTGAGGGCCATAACGCTCACCTCCCGATCAGCCAGGCAGGGGCGGGGGATGTGATCAAAGTTAGCTCACTCTAAAGCGAGCCCTCTGAACAGCAGGAAAGTGATTTGCTTTGGTTTGGTTTGGTTTCTTTTTATTGAATTTATTGGGGCGACATTGGCTAATAAAATTATATAGGTTTCAGGTGTACAATTCTATAATCGATCATCTGTGTATTGTACGTTCACCACCCAAGTCAAGTCTCCTCCCAGCACCATGTATCCGCCACCCCCTCCAGTCCTCTGTGTCCCCCGCCCCCCGTTTCCCTCTGGCAATCACCGTACTGTGTCTGTGTCTATGAGGTTGTTCGTTTGTTTCTTTGTTTGTTTTTTCTCAATCCCTTGCCCTTTTTCACCCAGCTTCAGGGAACTGGTTTGCGCACTAGAAGGCGCCATTTGAAAGTAGCAACCTACACTGTTGGGCTTACGCACGACTTGATATCCGGGCTGGGATCTGCTTTAAAATCCTCCAGCTGGGGGTGGAGATGACATAGGACTCTTCCTGCAGTCAAGAATGTGGACAATGGGGACGTGGGGGCTCATGACACTACTCCTTCCAATTGTGTAGAGGCCTGAAATTTTCCATAACGAAAAGCCTCCTTTAAAAAGGAGGGCTGTAGCATTAGTATCAGCAATAGTCACCTTTTCTTCCTCCAGAAGATGAAGCCTCCAACAGCCACAATAACCATGGCACCAAAGATGCATCCAAAAACTGCTCCACAGATGACACCTGGGAAAAGTCCAAATAGGAGGCACCATCAAGAGGTGCTCACCAACCCTCAGAAGAGCGCATGCGTGTGACATACACAGAGTTAAATACCTTTGGACCTAAAACTGGTCTAAGCACTTGGGTTACTTGTCCTCAACTCCCCACTAACTGGAGGTCCTGAGAAAGTCACTACTCCCTCCTGTCCCTGTCTCAGCTTCCCCCACGGCAAATTTAGGGAACTGGGCTAGATCAGTGATTTTCAGGATTTCTTTCTTCAAATGAAGCTGCATGCAGCAACCCCTTATATAAAATAGAAAACCAGCAGGGCCGCTGGAGCTGAGGTAGGGGTGGGAGTGAGGAGCGTCTCAGGGCTCGACCGTGTTTGGTGGAGCAACCGGTGGAACACCGCATACCTTCTGAGGCTCATTGGCAGGCATGAGTGGAAGTATGTACAGCGCCACACTCAGGTGACACAAAACCCATTTCCACACAGGGGAAGGGTGTGCACAGTCCCTGCACTTTGCTTCTGGGGCAGGGATTCTTTCCTGCAGCGAACAACTACCAAGTGGGAAGGCGAGGCAAACTGACAAGCCAGTTGGTCAGTACGACTCTGGCCTGAGAGGTGGCAGACATATCCTGCTGGGGTCCTTGAAGCTCCTCTATCACCTCGCTCTGTGTGATAAAAGACAGGAGTGCTTGGCAGGGAGTCAGACCAGAATGTCAGGCCTGCCTCTAAGCCACAGGGAAACCTTCAGCAAGTCACTGTCGCTCTCTGGGCTTTCAACACCCTCGTTTCTGAAACGAGTTGGACAAGACGCTTTCTGTGGCTCCTTCAGGGATTCTATGCCCTAAGCCACACTGTGGGCCTGGCACGTGGGCACACCAATCACTGCACCGAGAGAAGGGACTGAGTTTGCAGATTGAAGTGCAACTGGCATCAGAGGAAGAGGGCAGGGGCCATGGGGACCTCACGGCCAGCTGACGACATCTCAACTTCTGAGAGGAGAAACCAGGCGCTCCAACCCCCCAGCACCCACGGGAGGCCCAGAGACGCCCAGCCCTCTGTGGACACGGACCGCCAACACGCACTGCACGGCTAACAGCACAGATGTTCTTCCTCTACCTGGATCCTGGGGCAAGAAAACGGCGTCTGAGTAGCGACTGAAGGACACGTAGCTCCTGTTCCCGTCTATGAGAAGACTGTCAGTGCTGAAGGTGATATTGGTGAAGCCGGCGACACAAGCCCTGTGGGATGACGAACGGACCAAAGAGGAGGCTGAGCCACGTCCAGCACCCAGGCGGGTAAGCTTTGCACCCGGGAGACTCAGCTTCCGAAGAGGACGAAGGAGGAAACCTTACCGATAGGAGCCCAGGGGCTCCAGCTTCCCGTTGTAATAGCCGTGCGTGTTTGACTCATTCCCCACATCGATTTCGTATTTCAAGACCTCAGACAAGCCCTCAGAACTTGTGTTTTCTCCTGTGGCTATGAAGTATGTCACGTAAGTGGCCGAGGCGCCCTTTTTGAAATCTTCGTATGTGTGGCTCAAAACCTCGGCAGAGGGGTTAGCTGAGAAAGGCACACAGAAGGGAAGTCACAAGAAAGGCATTGCAGGGGCGTTAAGTCTCCCACAGTCCAAACAATGACACTGACAATGGCTGACGGCAAGGAGAGCCGCCACATCTCAAGGATGCTTTCAATGCCAGGCTTTACCTGAATTAGGTTCTAAGTGCTTTACTTACATTACTTCATTGAACTCCCACAACACTCTCTTCACGTAGCTTTACTATCCCCATCTAACAGATGGGAAAATGAGGGCACAGAAAGCAAAAAGGACCCAAAGCCACCCAGCCTACGTGGTGGAGATTTTTTCTAACCCAGACAATCTGACTCGAGCGTGTGGTCTCATCCATCACAGGCCGGTATTGTTCAGTCTGATCACTAGGCAATATTGCCTCCCCCATTTAGCAAAGATCTCGGTGTGGAATTTGCTGAAAACCTTCGGAGCAACATGACTAGGTACTTGAAACAGACCCAAAAGAAAAGACAGACAGATCGCGACGTTGCTTCTTGACATTTTGCCGCAGGTTTACGACAGCAGCAAATTCCTTGTCTTCCAGGGTTCCCACACCTGATGGTGTGTTTGAACCCCACCTTGCTCGAGGAGATGAGGACAGGATCAGAGGTCGAAAGACCCAAAAGGAGCTGTACTGCAGTGTTCACACTTAAAGGACCACCAAAAACATCACAGCGTGGCATTTTCAACCCAGGCCTTGTGCAAAGCGCCCACACACAGCAGGCAAAGACACCCTTGAAACATTCCTTTCTTACTTCCAGAGAAGGCACTGGAGCCCTTTAAGGAAAAGCGGCCTTTCATCCACCTCCTCTCTGAGCTATGAGGATGCTGTTTGGAAGTTCCCACTACAAATGCAAATCATCTCATCTGCTTTCAAAAGAAAGTCCCGCTTTGTCGATTATTTGTGTGTGTGCATTTGCATGTGTATGTGTGTGTGAGAGAGAAACTTGCTTAATACACATTCTGCCACCTAAAAGATAAGACACCATGTTGTAAAAGAGATAAAAACCCTAGATCTGAGGTCAGCGGTTATGGCCCACAGACCAAACCCAGCCAGCCACCCGTTCTGGTAAATAACATTTTATTGGAACAGCCGCGCTCATGCTTTCTGCATCGTCTGTGGCTGCTTTCACACTGCAGAGCTGAAGAGTTGCGAGCAGAGATTGTGAGGCTGGCAAAGTTTCAAATGTTTGCTGTCTGGCCCCTTTACAGATAGTTGGTCAACCCCTGACCTAGATCATCAGGCAAATAGCTGACCCCCTAGCACCCCCATCTGAGTGCCAGGCGTGGGCTACGGTGTAAAAACAGACGTGTATTTGTATCTCTAATGTGCTTCCGTGGGCACAGAAATGGGGCCTGGTCAGGGCCTCACTCCCTGGCTGCTTAGCCCATAATGATCCCCCCTTACCTTCCCCAGTGGTGAGAATGAGAGCGTAGGCTTTGATGGGTCCGTGGCTGGCTTCAAACCCACTGAACTTGACCTTTACCGAATTGTGACTGACAGATGTAATATTAGGAGATCCATCTGGAGGAGGGGGGTCTGAAATAGAACAAACCAAACATGATCATCCCACCTCTGAAACCAAAAAAGGCACAAAATTATTAAGGAGGGAATGCACAGGGCCCGCCCTTGCTCCGGAGGCTGCGTGCTGGGCTCATACGACGCGAACCCAGAAGCAAGGGGCAGGGAAGCGACTGGTGGGGAGCCTTCCCAGTTCACAAGGACCCCCTCAGTGGCCCCAGCCCATCGCCAGGGCGGCCTTCCACGTGCAGCCTTGTTGGTTGAAGCCAACCTGCCTTTCTTCTTCCCCCGGCCCCTCCTGACCCAGAGGGGCCAGGTGCCTCATTCTGAGAACTGGGAAAGGAGGAGGAGATGAGAGAGACTGTGTGGAAGGAGTTCTGAGGTCAGGGCCCGGAAGCCGCACACAGACACCTGCCCACTGCACGGACCGGGCACTGGGATGGTCAGTCGGCTGAGAACGCGATGGAGCGGAGGGAGGCAGAGAAGAAGTGGAGAGAACGCATGTTCTCCCGGGACCTTACTGCGTTCCTGCGCCTCATCCTTCACACCCAAGTCCTCCCTGTGCTGGAGTAGGTTTAAAACGCCACCTAGAGAAACCTGACCAGTGCCCCTACCAGAAACCCGAAACCCCCACACAGGAATGCCCCCAGGAGTGCCTCACCTTTCAGAGCGAAGCTTGGGGAGCCCCTCTCAGAATTAACACAACAGGAAGAACATGCTAACTTAATGACGATCCTTCACCACACTCTCTCTACCTAAACTTGTCTCCCACATACAATTTTCAAGATTTAGGGAGACCTGGAAAACTGGGCTCCAAAAAACCCGCCATTCTCCAGGCTCGCCCTGTGCAATGGGCAGCCACCAGCCTCACACAGCTGTGGGGACCTTGGAACGAGACTAGTCCAAGTTCAGATGTGCTACACGTGTAAGGTATAGACTGGATGTCAAAAACTTAGTGCAAAAAAGAGTGCAAAGAATCTCATTAATAACTTACTTTATACAGACTACATGTTGAAATAACATTTTTAATAGACTGAGCTAACTAAAATGTGATCGAAATTCATTGCAATTGTTCCTTTCTACGTTTTCTTAATATGGCTCCTAGAAGATTTTGAATCATAATACAATATATTACACATGATGGTCACAGTAGTTTCTGTTGGACAGCGCAGCCCTAACCTTGCTTTAGCAACCCTTCAAGTAACTGACAGTGGTGGCCACTAGGAGGCGGTGTCCCCGTGTTTAAGTGTCAACTGTCTCAACAGGGACTTCTGGCCAAGGCCCCCACATTTCCCAGTAGCCCTGCACTTTGCAGCCCACTAGTGCCCCACCCCCACCCCCAAGACCGTCCGCCAGCAGGCGAGCTCACCCACCTCCACGCCTTCCCTCTCCCTGCCCGTCCCAACCCCACGCTCGAGGACCTGTGTGCCTGGCATGCCGTGGTGTCCCTGACCCCAGCGCACAGTAAGCACCCAACAAACACCGGCTAAAGAACTACACCACTCCGACTCTCGCTGATTTACCATCCTGGCCATGCTTCCTACCTCTCTCAAAGAAAATGCGCCTCCACTTTTATGGTAAGTGAAAAACATGTTAGATGTGTATGTTTTTTTTAAAGCCTGTTAAACGTGTACATAAAAATTCATCTGAGGAAAGGGAACTGCAGATCCAAAAGTGCGAGAGTCACTAGACTAAACGATAGTGGTCACGGCTCAATGCCACCTGCCGTCTCTCAGCTTCAGAAACAACCCATCTGACGGGCTCCTTGTATTCACCAGGCACCGGGCTCAGGCCTGCGGACACCCAGTCAGACACGGCTTCTGCTCCTCAGTGGTTTATACCCACGGAGATGACGACATAAAACAGAAAACTACAAAAAGTACCTGCAAGGATCATTGTCACATTCTAGAGCGCTGCAGAAACCCAAAGGAGCAGGACCCGGGCTAGTCCCGTCCAGCTGTGTCCCTCACGACTCCGAGGAGCCCCATGTACATTGGAGCCCATGTGAACGGTGTCCCCTGGAACTGGGAATTGCACCTTCTGGGCCCCCATACGTGGCAGCCCATGGTCCTCTATGCATACTACCGCCTCATCTAATTTGTACCATAGTCTTCGAAGGTAGGTATTATTATCCTCTTTCACAGCTATGGAAAACAAGGCTCAGAGAGGTTAAGTAGTTTTTCTAAGACCACATAGCAGATAAAAGGCAGGACTTAGAATCAAAACTCAGGTCTGCCTTTCTAAGTCCGAGGCTCTGTCCCCAGAATCCCTCAACCACCCTCCATGTCAGTGTTCCTGAAGTAAGAGTCATTTTTTTCTTACTATCACATCCACTAATTCTTTAGAACATGTCCAGGAACATTTTGATACCCGAAAGCAGGAGTGTCCAACCTTTTGGCGTCCCTGAGCCACAGTAGAAGAAGAGTTGTCTTAGGCCACACATTAAATACATTGTGACATGTAATGCCCCCCCCAAAAAAAAACCTCATAATGTTTTAAGTAAATTTATGATTTTGTGTCGGGCTACGTTCACAGCCATCCAGGGCTGCCTGCGACCCGCGGGCTTCACGTTGGACACCCCCTCCCTGGAAGAAACATATCCAGGGGTCTAAAAGCACAAAGCAAAACCAGCCCACCCAGGTTAATCTAAGACATAACTCTGGCAGAGACACAGGGAGCAAAAGACAGAGAAAAGGGAAACAAAGGTATAAGCCATCCCCACCCCGGCCCCAGAACAGCAACAGCAACAAAATAGAAAGGCAGGCATGAGAAGATCAACTAGAGGGATCCCGTTAGTGCAGTGAATACTCCCATTTCCCAAAACTACTGTTAATAGGGACGCTAGGAAAATATGAATCTTGACTAAATATCTGATAGGAACAAAAAAAGTATTGTTCAATTTTTGTGTGTGATGATAATCGTGATTATGTTTGACAGAAAGGAAGAAGGAGTCCCTGTCTTGGAGCAATACATACTGAAAAGTCTACAAATAAATTCTAGTGTGACCAGGACTGGTCTCAAAGTGATCGCATGGGAGGGAGACGGAATATAAATGAAATAAGATTAGTCAAGTGCTGACAAGTGTTCAGATGGGTGACAATGGGAAGGGGAGTTTTTTATATTTTCTTCTTTTTTGTATATTTAAATGCTTCTATAAAAATACTTGTTTTTTAATTCAGTAAGGGAACTTGCTACTTAGAAAATGCAGCGATGAATTATTCTGCAAAGCAAAGGAAACTTTTGGGATATGAAACATGAGTCCCACCCTGGCCAGGTAGCTGAGCTGGTCAAAGCATCGTCCTGATACACCAAGGTTGCAGGTTTGATTCCCGGTCAGGACACATATAAGAAGCAACCAGCGGATGCAAAAATAAGTGGAACAGAAAATCAATATTTCTCTCTCTCCCCCCACCCTCCCTCTTTCTAAAATCAACAAATACAATTTTTTTAAATGTGACTCCCTCTTATGCTGCTTGCTTTAGACTGAATTTCTACAGAATTGGGTTCACAGTCCATGCCAGGAAAAGCAAATATTTTAGCAAAAATTTTTTAAAACATACACACAACAGATTTCTAGACCACACTGGCACAGGTCTGGCAGGCCCACTAGGTCAGCCTCTCCAGGGGTCACCACAGAGCCACCAGGCCACCCTGCTGCCACAAAGCCCACCTGTGATGCTCGTGACGCAGGTGTTTTGGGTAGGGGGTGCCATCTTGTTACAGGACAAGGCAGTGACGTTGATATCATACGAGGTAGAAAAATTCAAATGTGTGACTTCCGTTCTGTACTCGGCGCCATCCTCCGAGGAGCAGCCCTCCAGCTGTGTCATATTTCTCCAGTCTCCTCTGCTGACCTCCACCCAAAAGCCTGCGTTGGTGCCAGTAGGGCAGGCCCACTTGAGAACCAGGGTTGGCTTTTTGGGGACCACTTCACAGTAGAAGGAGGCTACTGGGGCCGGGTCTGCAAAGCAAGCACAGCACAGCATGAGACTCTGGGGCGCCTGCCTTCGCCAGCACTGAAACTCAGGGAGCAGCGAGTCCCGGTCCATCCATGACGAGGAGGCACATGTGTGGTGAGGCAGAAGAGGCAGAGGCTGACCTTGAATCGGGCATTACTACACTATGTGACCTTGGATCCAGCATCCAACTGCTCTGAGCCTCGGCTGCAGGACTCTGAGGACCACATGAAACAAAGGCTGTCGGTCACCAAACTGAAAGAGAACATGGCTCCATGAGAGGGAGCTGTATCATAACAGTCTGGTGATAGCAGCTCCTTCACCTGCATCATCTTACTTGGGGGACATATCCGCTGAGGCTTTGAGAGGTTAAGTATGGGGTTGGCCAAAAAGTTCGTTTGTTTTTTTTCCATAAGATGGCTCTGGTAGTGCTTATATGTCTCTAACTTCATTCAAAACAATTTTGTTAGATTGTATTGTGACAGCTGTCATATCAGCATACATTTCAAAAAGAAACTTGTCAAAATTGGTGCATTTTTGTGTAGCCATTTTACTGTTGAAAATGGGAGAAAATACACAACATTTTTGGCATACGATGCTTTATTATTTCAAGAAAGGTAAAAACACAACTGAAATGCAAAAAAAGATTTGTGCAGTGTACGGAGAAGGTGCTGTGACTGATCAACTGTGTCAAAAGTGGTTTGTGAAGTTTTGTGCTGGAAATTTCTCACTGGACGATGCTCCATGGTCAGGTAGACCAGTTGAAGTTGATAGCCATCAAATCAAGATATTAGTTGGAAACAATCAACATTCTACCATATGGGAGACAGCCAAGATACTCAAAATATCCAAATAAATAAAGTTATTGATGAAAATGAAAAAATGTGTCTTTCATTTTATGGAAAACACTACCCAGGCTTTTTTGGCCAACCCGATAATGTATATATGATGAGATGGCTGGTCAGTGGGGAAGCCAAACTGGGCCCCAGGTTTTCTAAATCCAAGCACAGGGCACTTTCTATAGATACAACATGCTGAATGATCAGTGGTAAATGGTACCTGTTTCTTCATCTTTAAAACAGTGTGTTATTTGTCTCTAACTATCCGGGGGCCAGCAGAATTTTATTGAGACCCAACATCAAACTGATGTAAATGAAAAACTCCATATTAATGTCCTGGGGGAGAATACTGTCGCTACTTTAACGCTGCAGGACTTTTTAAAGCAGGAAGGTGAGTCACCTGGTGCAACCCTCACATTCCCCACCTGAGGCTGGTCAAGGTGACCTGCCCAGCATGTGCCTACCCCCACAGCTCCTGTTCCATCCACCCCAGTCATAAGTGCTCAGGTAGGCTTTTCTCCTGGTTTGGGGCCGCAATAATTATAACTAAGAGAAGTGTCAGAAACAGAAGCCACCCAAATACTAAAAATCAGAGTCGAGACCAGGTGGGATAGAGCCCGAGTTAGCAAAGGTGACTCGAAGCTGCAGGAATTCCTTTAAGTATTCCATGTGAAAGGTCAGAGGTCATCGAGGTTCCGGCTCCTACACTACCAGGGAGGCTGATCCAATGAGTCTCCCGCTTTCCAAATCAGCCTGAACACATCCGAATGGCTTCATCTAGGGAGTGGAAGGTGTGGGTGCAGAGAATGGAGAATAAGGTGGCCCACGGGCCACAGTCAGAACTGTGAGGTCCTTGTAACCATCTGCAAAACAGTCTCTGGGCTACTCTCTGCAAGCTCCCTCAGCTGACCACAGGGCCCCCCTTCTCTTGATCACACCTTTTACAGTGAGAATAAGGATCAAGAAAGGGGAAAAGCTGAACATCCACTGTAACAGTGTCCTTTGTACCTTCTTAGCATGAAAGCCGAACTATACCGTACAATCTAGACGTCACCTGTGCCCCTGCCGTCCCCTCCGGGGCCTCACTGCCTCGCCCTCGGCCTTTTGCTCCCATAGACCCACTCCCGCCGCCCTGGCCTCCTCCTCTTCAGCACAGCAGGCTCCCGCCAGCCTCAGGGCCTTTGCACTGACTGCTCCTCTGCCTATAATGCTCTACGCCCTGATGTCACGCAGCCAGCTTTCTACTTCCTTCGGATCTTTGCTCAGAAGTCACCTTTTCCTTGAAGCCTTCCCTGGGCACCCTCGACAAACATCGACTCTCCCCTTTCCTTGGGTTTTCCCCCTCTCCATGGCACTAATCGTCATCTAATAACGAATTATCTTGTTTATTATGTCCTTCCCTTCAGAATAAAAGCTCCAGGAGGGCTGGGACTTATCTGAGTTATTTTAAACTGCCTGGCATACAGTAAGTGCTTAATAAATATTTGTGGAATGAATGAATGATGAAGCCACAGGACACCACTAATAAGTTAACAGGATGTCTCCGAGAGCTCAGTGTCTACTATAACAAAGCACACAAGAGCTGACAAACTGAAGTCTGGGGAGGACTTACCTGCGAGACTAGCAGCCCACCGGGAGAAGCCCACGCAGCACGTGGGGCCACTCACCTGCACAGAATGACCGCCGGCCAGCCTCCAGTGACTCGGTGCCATCCCTCGCTTGGGCGAAGACCTTCACTGTGTACTCTGAACCAGGTATTAATTCGGTGACTGTAGCATAGGTGATGCCAACGTCTGTGACTATCGGAGCTGCGTCGCTGGAAGTCCCTTCCTTCTCAACGAGCAGGCGGTAGGTGTACGTGGGAGAGGCCTCGTCGGAGTTCTGCCAACAGAAGGTTGCTGCCGTGGTATTGGCAGTTATTTCTATGTCAGACACATCGCTGGGCCCTTAATGAAAAAATAAAAATCAAGTGACTGTGGGAGCGAGGGATGGGGGTAGGATGGGTGGAAGGGGTAAACGGGGAAAAATTGAGACAACTGTAACAGAATAAACATGATTTATAAATACCAAATAAATAAATAAAATAATGTATAAATAAATAAATAAATAAAAACCTTTTTTAAAAAAGCACAGATTCACCTGAATTCTAGGATTCTTTTATAGACTGCACCTGAAAATAGCCTGGCTCCTTTGGGGAAAGAATGAATAAATCTAATATTTGCTGACTCAGAAGATGGAAGGCTTCTCAAAAAGACATTTGGAAAATAATGAAAGGCTCAAAAGAATAAAGTTTTTCATGCTTCTTTTAACACTTCAAATGTATCTGAAATTTTCAAGATATAATTTCTCACCTGTTTCCGAAATCTGATCAATGAAAGAAAAAATATACACTAAAAATATAGGATAAACTACCATCTCTGCCATACATTTAGCTAGACTGAAGCTTAACAAAGCCCCTCATCTGAGCAGCATTTTCCAGCACCAACAGGACAAGGAGAGTCTCCTTTAGTCTGGGTTCCCAAGGAATGAATGGGACAGTGTTGTTTCCCATGCTTATGGGATCACTTTCTGCTTCTAAAGCCGAATTCCAGGTTCACAAGGCTCAGCACCAGCGCCCTGTGAGAAGAGCAGAAGCTCTGCCAAGGCCAGTATTTTCAGCCTCAGTAGTTTCACATTTGACCTGGAGCCCAGAAACAATGGCTTCTTAGCTGATGCCTCCTTCTCACCCAGCAAGTGAAAGTCAAGGAGAATACTCTCTTAAGCGGGCCTCCTAAGACACTCACGTGTGCACTGTGCAATGGAGCTGGAGTGCCCGCACACGCCGTTCACTTCTGGAACAATTGTGATGTTATAGAAGGTGCCCGGGATCAGGTCCCTGAAAGTGGCGGTTCTGAGAGACGTGTTCGTCTGCTGAGAGCTGTTCTGAGACGTTAGGTTCAGGTGGTAGATGTAGTCGGAGGCGTTGTCTGTATTCTGCCACTCCAACTGCATTTCAGTGGTGGTGACATGGGCCACGCGGATGTCAAACACTGTACTGGAGTCTGGTTGGAGGAAAGGAAGGAAAACGGAAGTCTGTTAATGACCATCGTAACCTCCAGGTTTGTTTCAAAGCGTCTGTCAAGAGAACGTGCTCTTTCACCATCAAAGCCTCCAATGAGTTCTCAAAGAGCAAATTCCAAAACGCAGGTGAGAAACACGCGCGCTCAGTTCTTCCAAGAATATTGGCTCCCTCCTAACACAGAGGGACTTCCCGGTTCACCCTATCAGTTCTTTGGTCCTTTGTTTTTGTCATAAAAATGGCCCCTGTGGGGGTCTTCTAGATTGAAAATCACATTCAGTGTCCTGACCTAAGGGCTGGTGAACAGATGGGCTCAGCTTGTGAAAACTCATCAAACTATGCACTTAGAATACATCCGCTTTTCAGATGGATGTTCGTCTCCACAAACTGTTTGTTTTTAATCATTCCCTCAAAAGAAAATATCTTCCTGAAACATGGGCATACATGCCAAAGAGAAAAAATGAAATGGAGAGTTGATAGCTTCTAAGCATCAACATTTGAGGCCAGGGTGGGGAAGGGGAAACAACACACACACACCCTCCACTGCCCAGGCTGGGAGCCAGAAGTGGAAGCACCCACCTGAGCACCCTGGGCCCCGTACTCTGATCAGCTCACCTCTACACTCTAAACCAGCTGTAATTCGAACGCAGAGATCGAGGCCTAGAAATAGCTAAATGCAACTCAGTGGCATTAAATACATTCCGAATATTGCATAACCATCACCATAAATTATCTATTCCCAAAACAGTTCATCACCCCCAACATAAACTCTGTCCCAATTAAACAACGACTCCCCATTCCTCCGTCCCCCAACCCCTGGTAAACTCTTCTCTCCTTTTTATCTCTATGAACTTGCCTATTCAAGGTACCACATGTAAGTGGAATCATACAATATTTGTTCCTTCTGTGTCTGGCTTATTTCACTTAGCATAATGTTAATGTTTTTAAGGCCCAACCATGTTGCAGCATGGATCAGAATTTCATTCTGTTTTATGGATGAGCACTACTCTACTGTACGGATATGCCACATTTTATCTATCCATTCATCTGTTGATGGACACTTGGTTGCTTCCACCTTTTGGCTATTGTGAATCAGGCTACTATAAACATTGGTATACAGATAACTGTTCAAGTCCCTGCTTTCAATTCTGAAAAAGAATTGGAACTGCCGGGGTCATATGGTATGTTTCCCTTTTTCAAAATTGTCTGTAATGCTGTTACATTTATTTTCCCCAATAATAATAATAAAAGTTGTTCAATAGTAGAATGGTAGTCCCCTAGGAGTCTACTGCATTCTTACAACTCATTGATTTGCATTCAATGAGACCTAATTATAGGTGATAATACAAAAGATGCCCTCTTCTCACAAACAGTCCTTAATTACTTTGCAGCTGCACCATATCAAAGTGTCAGTCCACACTGCGGCTCCAACCTCAGTCTTTAAAGCCAGCCAGAGGCCAGTTCCGTGCCGTCTCACTCTGGGCTAGTTACTTAGGCTTGCAGAGGCCCCACTTCCTACTCTGGAAAATAGAGATGATAATAGAACCCACCTCATGAAGAAGTTGTGTTAAAAATTCTCTAAATATGCCCTGGCTGATGTGGCTCAGCGGACTGAGTGCTGGCCTGTGAACCAAAGGGTCGCCAGTTCGATTGCCAGTCAGGGCACATGCCTGGGTGGCAGGCCAGGTCCCCAGTTGGGGACACGTGAAAGGCAACCACCCATTGATGCTTCTCTCCCTTTCTCTCTCCCTTCCTTCCCTTCTCTGTAAAAATAAATAAAACCTTTTTTAAAAATTTTAAACATAGGATGAAAGCCCAGCATTTTGTACACCCTTAATATATTGTATTATTATTGTATTAAGTTCTGGGCATTGGCCAGTCACACAACATCAAGGGTATCTCATTACCATTACCAACGTTCTCAAAAAGAAAAAAGAAATATATGAGGTCTGTCTGGGAAAAACCCAGCCATTGTTAGAATAACAATAAGTTTGCACAATATCAGTGTAACCTGGCAGCCAAGGAGAGTGGACTGGAATGCACATGTATGAACAATGATGACTTCACTGTACTACTCAGTGGGGATGGTAGACATCATTGAGTGAGCATGTGTACTGGGTGGCTGTCACATTCAAAATGACTGAGCAAGCGGAGCAACAAATCTGCATCAAATTTTGCATTAAGCTTGAACGTCCCTCTGCAGAAACTATTTGGATGATTCAGAAGGCCCCAGCTATTGGGCAGATGGTGATTGGCAGCTTCATCACAACAATGCACCTGCTCATGCATCACGTCTCATGCAGATTTTTTTGTGAAGTATCTAATCACCCAGGTGACTCGTTCCCACTACAGCCCAGGTGTGGTGCCCTGAGACTTCTGGCTTTTCCCAAAACTAAAATCACCTCTGAAAGGGGAGAGATTTCTGACCATCAATGAGATTCAGGAAAACACGACCGGGGCAGCTGATGGTGATTGGGAGAACTGCGTGAGGTCCCAAGGTGCCTGCTTTGAAGGGGACTGAGGCATCACTGTCCTATGTACAATGTTTCTTGTTTCTTCAGTAAGTGGCTCTATTTTTCATAGCACATAGCTGGATTCCTTGTGGACATACCTTCATATGGTGCTCTTAAGACTCCATCTCAACAAGTCTAATCTAAAATTCAGACTTAAAAAGGAGTTACTGCATTTCATCTGAGGGATGCATTTTAGCGGTTCCCTTATTCTGGGAGCAGGTCTTCCAAGTGACTCTCAATCCTTAACCCAACCAACAGAGTTGAAGAAACCTACACAATGAGAATCTGAGAAGCCCAACTGCTTCTACTTGTGGCTCAAGGAATGAGTCTCCTCTGCATCCTTCCTTTCTGGATGAAAAACTTCAACTCTCTTGTAATCAAAGTTCAAGGAATACAGTATGATTTCCAAGCTTTTCACAATGTCTGACTTCAAATTTTGGAAACAATGAGGAACATTAAATTGTTTTCATAAAATAGTTTTCTCAATATCAATTACCCTTCTAGGACTAACAACACATAGCATCACAATGTTTATGAAGGAGGACTGTAAGTAATCTGTCTGCCCAACAGGACAGTAGTTAAATAATTCACAGCACATCCAGGCCAGTGGCCCTTAAAAATCTGAATTTTGGATTTACCTTCTCAAAAATTACTAAGGCTCTCAGAGAAATTTGAGTCGTGGAGGGTATATTTATATTTATTATATTAAAAATTTAAAATGAGGAAATTTTTTAAACATAAGACTACACAAGCTGTCAGAGTGATGGTGTCGTCCCATGACGTGTGGCATCTGGAAAACTCCACTGGACACTCATCATGAGGGGATGAAGGTGCAAAAGCCAAATAACACTTTAGTATTACGATAATAATACCCCAAACTCTTTGACTGAATCTAGGAGATTCCCAGAGATCCCAGGATCACACTTTGAAAACCACTGGTCTGGCCCAGGGTCAACAAATCTTTTCCATTCGGCCACGGAATAAATATTTTAGGCTTTCTGGGCCATATACATATTCTCTGTTGCAATTACTCATTTCTAGCACAAAAGAAGCCATAGACAGTACATAAAGAAATAAACATGGCTGTGTTTCAATAAAAGTATTTACAAAAACAGACAGTTGGCCAGGTTAGACCCATGGGCCATTATTATCTGTTGACGCCCAATCTAGAAAATGGAATGCCTGGAAGGTATTAAAATTATCCTGTAGAAATACAGAAATATTTATATGGACAGAGAGGAATGCTTATAGTAAATTGGTATGTGGAAAAAGGCAGATTACAAAACCTCACGTATATGATGACTTCAATGTTTGTTAATGAAAAAAATATATATGTAAAGACATGTGTGTATGTGTACCTATATATATTTTTAAATTATAAATCATCATACATCAAAAGTTATCAGTGATTATCTCTGATTGATGGTTTATATGTGATTTCCTCCTTTTTCTTGCCTGTATTTTACTGAATGGATATGCTTTTCTGTCATTGTTTTTTTTTTTAATTTTTCTTCGATAATTAAAAGAAAAGCAATATTTGGAAAACCTGACATTTAAAAATTAAACTGATTTCCTTTAGGAAACATCACTGTTTCACAGAAAACACAGCCTACGTACTCACCAGTTGTACCGCAAACTCTCTGGGACTCCCCTTCGGTCCTATCTGGTCCTAGTGGGAATATTTCAAAACAATATTCAGTGCCAGGGAGTAAGTCACTAATGACAATACTGGTTTGGTTGGTTTCCATCCGACGTTGTCCAGCTCTGTCCTGCGTGATCTGTATCTTAAAGGAATCCGTGTCATTGCTGCTCCAAGCTAAGCCAATACTCCGGGTGGTGACAGTCGTGACTCGAAAGTTGGAAACTGAACCAGGGCCTGTGGGAACAAGTGAAGGGCTAGATAAGAATCTCTCCCCAGAAAACAAAGGCGACTGAAGCTCACCAAATATTTACACCAAGATTCAATGACACCTGACCTCTCTTTCTCTTCTTTATACTGTCACCTACAATGCGGACCCCTTCAGAAAGTGGTATTTTGGCCAATGAGAGACCACTTGGCTACAAGAGTGAAGAAACCATTAGCTTAGGTGATTCAAAGCCACTCACAAGAAATGAGAGGAGACTGAACCCCAGAGGTCAAGGGTTCAGGGTCCACAGTAGGACCTTGGCGATTGGAAGTGTGCTTCTAGGGAAGGAACAGACATTGAAGGAAAGCATTCTTGTGGGACGAGCAAGCCCTGGGACCAGAGACAGGCACCCGGGGTTCAAGTCCCTGCTCTACCACTTGCTGGTTCGGTGGCTTTGGGCCAACTGTTCGGCTGTGCTGAGCCGTAGTTTTCTCACCTGTAAAACAGGAATTGCAATACCTACCACGAAGGCCCCTGCTATCCTGATGCTATTATAGTTATACTATTCTACTACCGGTACTCCATTATTGTTTTATTTTAAGTTATTGGACCTTCTTCAGAACAAATGGCTTTTAGTATGCTGTCTATCATCTTATCTTTAAGGGACAGTTAAGCAAACGAGGGATGAGACACAGTGGCACCCTGCTTTATGACAGCATCAGCATCTTAAAGACAAAGAGACATGAATATCCAGGTTCTTTCTCCTTGTAGCAATTCACTCCAGGTCTCTGCCACACTAGAACAGTCATTATAAGCACAGGCTGGAGTCCATAAAACAGCCTAATGCCAAACACGTGACAGGGCTGTGAACATTAAATAAGACAGAGCAAGGAAAGCCCATCACACCATGCTGGGCGTGTGGCAGGGTCAGTTGACGATGACTGTTACAATCGCAGATCCTGAGGGGGTGAAAGTCCCTGGCCTCACGCATTCCGCTGTGCTCTCCTGGAGGGCAGGTACAGAGCCTTGTATCTGGGCCTGGTGCGTGGCAGGCAGGAAAGGTTAGCAAACAATGCGTGAACTCACGGGTGTACTTTTGGAGAAAGCCCGGTATGCCCTCAGAACCGTCCTGTAGGGAAGGACGCACTGTGATGTTGTATAAGGTACATGGGCTGAGTGGAGTGAGGATGGCCTGAGTCTCATTGACGGTGAGGTTGAGGGTATTGGTCTCCCCAACAGCTTCTATGTTGTAGGTGTAGACAGAACATGCCCCATTATCATTGATTTTCCAGGTCAGGGTCATGCTCGTGGCACTGATGTTGACTGCTTCGATGTCAAAAACCTGATAGGAATCTGTGAAGTAACAAAAGGAGTTCACAGTAACCAGAACGGCCAAGCCAGAGAGAGAGAGAGAAAGAGAGAGAGAGAGAGAGAAGCTATCATTGGGGCAGGTCATCTAGTTTAAGAAACACTCTTAGCAATGGTTCCTTCCTATTCTGTTGGGAAACGCCCCATCTGGTTTCAGGAACTAAGGCCCTGCCGACATTTAACTGCAACGTACACAAATGTATGGGGGTCCCAGCCAAAGTCAAGCATCTTCCTCTATGAAGAAACAACCTGGCTGATTGCAATGGCACCGTTGCTCTTTGTTCTTCTTGTGACACGGTGGACTCCTTCGTGGGCAGCTGACCATACATTACCTGTGCGGCACCCAACCCCCTCTTCTGATGGCGCCCCACGGCCCCTTTGTGGGAGGAAGTGTCTGCCAGCCATGTAGAAGCTGGGTTGGGGACAGTGTCTCCTATCCCCAGCACAGATATCCGGAAAGTGGGTATGTGACACTCTGTCCATCTTGGGACTTTGAGTCCCGAGAAAGAGTCACCAAGTCCAGTGTGGTCCAGACCTCCAGAGTTTTCTGGATGCTAATCTGCTTTCTGACCTTGGTGCTCCAGCCCCCACCCTCATGCCCTCTGTCCTGTGGGCCTATGACAGCCTTTCAGAATAGATGTACTTTCAGATACGACGACCAGAGTTGGGTCGTGCTGGCTGCAACAAAGTCCCCAAGGACTACAGTGCTTCAGTGTTTGCTCCTGAACCCATGGAGCCCGACCATGTGCTTTCCAAGCACGCGTGTCCCCATCCCCATCTATGCTGAAAATCCCGGAGGGCAGGGGCTGTGCATGTCTTTGCCCCCTCATCAGCATCAGTCCAGAAAGCATCCAAGTGCTGGTCAATTTACAGAGCCAGAGTGCTGCTGAAATAGAGGTAGAAAGCAGCAACGTGCATGTCAACACGTTTCAATAGAAACATCACTGTGGTTTCCAAGGTCAGGCCAAAAGAGGAAACTTGTTCTCTTATCTCAAGAGCAAAATACTTAATCAACATTGACAAAATGAATACCAGTTTATAAGAGAAAAACATGACACCAGCTTGTCTCGCTGACTCATATACAGAGAAATGAAAGAAAAACATGAGGCAGTTCCCAGGGTCTGCACCTAGTGGCTGCTCCCTGTGCTTGATTGAATTCAGTGAAAGAAGCGTCTTGGCCACAGAGTTAAGAACCTCGATGGGTCTGCTCTGTCCAAAATCTCTTCCAGAAACTCCATCTGACAATAAAACTACTTGAGAAACAAGAGCTAACTCAGAACCAGAATCCCAAAAGACATAACCTTGTACTTAGAAATTCTGGCTAAAGCCATTTTACGAAATTCAACATACTTGTCCTGAATTCTATGACCTTAGGCTTCCCTTCTGTGTCATTCTGTGCTTGAGAATACACAGTAGCCTTGTACAACGTGCCGGACTTCAACCCAGAAAGCAGGACTTCCGTGTTTCTGGCCAGAAGATAAGGAGAGGATTGTCCTTCAGGTTCAAGCAGGTACTTGTCCACAGGGGAAGTCAGGGCCAAGCCCCCTGGGCCGGCAGCATCTGCTTCAAATACAAAAGGCAAAGACATGAACTGCAACAGAAGCACATCCCTGCTTCTTTCAGTCCCCACAGTTGGCACTCCCCGAGTACCTGCCGCCCCTCCCCCTGACTGAAACGCATCTGCCGCAAAAGGCTCCGATCTGGGGCAGATATTTCACTCTGCGCTCTTATCCCAAGAAGCACCACAGATATTTGTGCTCCTCTTTCAAACTCACCTGTCTGCATTTCTCTCCCTTCTTTCATGAAATCATACCCCCCCCACCCACATCCAGACACGGCTTTCCTGGGACAGGCACATGGTTCAAACATGGTCCGACAGAACCCATTTGAGGACTTGTTCCCCGGGACCAGACCCCTGCTCACAGGTAGTGCAACTGCTGGTGGCCGTTTATCCTCCAGCTGTGTGGGGGGAGCCACTCTGAGAACCGAGGTGATAAAAAGAAAAATGCAGCAAGACGAGATGAGCGTCACCCCATCTCTTTCTTTAAGGCCCGGCTGCCCATGGCAGGGGAATGTCATGAGCCAGTAAGTTGCCCTTCTAGTCTCAGCTACAGAAAGTCTGGCTTCTGTTGCTTGTGATCAGGAATCCTAATACCCACTTTGTAGCTCTGTTTCCTCACGTGTAAAATGGGGGTGAAATACTTGTTCTTCTCAAGTCACAGAGTTACCCAGAAAAGGCTGAAATCTGCAAATGACTACTACACTGTCACTCTAGGAGACATCTGCTAGACCCACTTAAGAGTCCCTTTATGCATGGGATGTAGTAAGTTCCTCCGATGGCTCTCCAAGGATGAACACATCTGTTATTTGTTCACCTGAAAGTGTGAAAAGCTACGTGGGCCAACTACTTCCCTGGATGCCAGAGTCCCAAAAGTTTCAACCCTGCTTGCCATACTGAGCCCCCATGTGCTCACCTATAACATAAAAACACTTTCCCCTCCTTCCTCATACAGGTGTGGGGTCCAACTAAAAAGTGCAGGAGGAGCCCTCTACAACATCTAAAACTGTACAAATGTAAGAACAATATTTTTAAAAAGGATGAAGTTCCTGAAAGGCAAAACCAGCAAGCAGACAAGAAGCACACTCTCGGAACTCACCTGAGCCATTTCCTCCAGCCACAGCGTCCCTCTGTGTCTCAGCAGATTCTGAAACACACCGGGTCTTATAGGTAAACCCCGGCTTCAGGCGTGTAATATTGACTGCTGAGCTTTGATTCAACTCCTCATGGCTTCCCATGGCTTCAAGGAGCAGCCGGCAGGTGGCAGTGCCATTACTATTCTCCCAGGTAAGAGCAACTTCTGTCACACCCTTGAAGGTGACGCAGAGACCGGAAACTGGATGGGGCTCTAATTTAAAAATACACAATGGGCATTGATGGGACAAGATACATGTAATCACTTTTCATTATGAATGGCTGGGGACATCGATGTTTCAATATTACCCACTAACAATGCTCCCTTTATATCAGATCTAGTACAATTCCACCATTTCACAGCAGGAAAATATATATATATCATATGAAGAAAAGAGGAGAAAAAATAACTCTTAAAGCCAAAACTTTTCAGGAGCTGTACTAGTCTCCAAGACAGTGAACCAACAGTGATGTGACACTCTTCTAAATTGTCCCTTTTAAATAGCAGTGTTTAATTGGATCCGCTTTAGACCTCAGGGACAAAGCATCAGACAAAGTGATGGCTTGCTGCATCTGAAGGTCACGAGTCAAGACAACATGAATAAGATCATTTCACAGTACCAAGACATTTCTACGAAGGAATTCCTCTCTGTATTCCAAACCCAAGGGGAGTTTGTAGAAAACTATGAACCACACTATCCCCACGCTGTCCTTTCCATCACCCGATTTGGCTGTCAGTGACATAAACCATTTCAGCCAAAATGGCATCCACTCCCTTCATCTTTTTCAAGTTCTTTAGTGTTATCCCATGACAGTTGTCCCAGTTTCCCCCCCCTTTTTCCTCCTCTACCCAGCCCACCCCCTACTCCCACAGTCAATCCCCACCCTGTTGTCTGAGTCAAGCCCTTCATTTTTAAGATGAGAATATGGAGCTACAGAGACAGGTGACTTGCTCAAGAATGCCCACCGCTGGCAGTGTCCGGTAGGGCTCCGCCCTTAAGCATATAAAGCCACAGGTGGTGTGCAGACAGAGCAGAAACCCCGTCTGACGGCTGCAGGTGGCTGCGCTTGAAGACACCAGTCTGGATGGTTGTTGGTTCCTGTCCAGCTCTGCAGCGAGCTGATCCACTCTGTGGCTCTACTCTTCACATCAAATGTTTCCATGCGAAGGTTTCTAAATCGGGTCACTCATGCATTTTGGTTTTGTTTTGTTTTGTTTTGTTTTGTTTTAAATAGAACACCGATAAACCAGCCAGCTCCATGACTCTGGGTACCTGTTATGAACATTACTGTACTACAGAGGTCAGGTATCAGGCCCCTGGACTTCCCACCTGGGCTCTCACAAGAAACTTCTCAGCTTTACAGTGTCTTCCACTGTAGCTCTCGGCATTACCATGAGGACAAAATCAAAAATTAAGGCCCTGGCTGGTGTGGCTCAGTGGGTTGAGCGCTGGCCTGTGAACCAAAAGGTTACCGGTTCAATTCCCAGTCAGGGCACATGCCTGGGTTTCAGATCTGGTCTCCAGTTGGGGATGCGCGAGAGGCAACTGAATGATGTTTTTCCCCCTCTATTCCCCTCTCTCTCAAAATAAATAAAATCTTTCAAAACAAAATTAAGGACAGCTAAACACACAGTACATGCCCAATAAACAGTAACTGATGAACACCGCCTTGTCCTCATGGGCTGTAAGGTAGAGTAAGGACCCTCGGCTCCTGGCTGAATGCTTCCTGTCACCTTGTTGCCTCCTCCTTCCGGTAGCCACCAATTCTCTAGCCCCATGTCCCCATCACTATTTCTAAATTCTGTCTTCTTTTCTCTCCTTAATTCTCCTCTATCTCCATCTTTTCCTCTCTTTCACAATATCGTGTGGCAAATCTTCATTGTGTGCAGCTTTTTTCCCTCTCTAAAGCTGTGCTGGGAGGAGCTCCAGGTTTGTCTAGGGTTTTTGGGGAAGGTCTCCGACACACCCTGCCCCTCAGCTCCCCCCTCTACAGTTCTTTTTACTTACTGAGCTCCTGGAAAAGATTTTGCTTAAAGAAATTGTTTCCTCACTGGAAAAAAAGAGTTGAAAATCACTGGTTTAGTGTTCGTTTGCCCCGTGTGCGGAGGGCTTGGCCTAAGCAGCCACTTCAAGCCGTGGGCTGTGAGAGGTAAAAGGCTCACAGCCTTTCCCAGACCGAGATCACACCCCCAGGCTGGAAAAACAACAATCTTTCTTAAATGTTTGCCTCTTCTCAGCTTCAAAAGAGCTCCTCATCTTTTCTATATATTCTTGGTTCTTTTCAGCTTAAAAAGAAAAGAGCTAAATTTGCAGCTATAACAGGGGGCTCAGGATATTGACATCTAAGCTAAATAAAAATCCAACTTAATACAAATCTAAGTTTAGTCAAATGTCACTGGGCTTTCATTTGAAACATGCATTCCTCTATAAAATATCACCCCCAAATTTCACCCCAAGGAAGCCCCTGGGACTATAAACCCAGCATCAACTTTCCTGGGGAGCTCAGAAGGAGCCTTGTAATTACTGACACCATTAAAACACATTCCTAAAGGGGTCCCTGCCCCCAAGTCTTAGCTGAAAAGTATTAACCACTAATAACAAAAGATTTTTAAAACTGAACAGTTGGAATTAGTTAAAACATCCCCAAACACAAAGGGCCTTAATACTGAACGATCAGGCCTCTTGAACTCATGGGCTTGAAACAATATAGAACCTTTCCTCCTCTTCCGCAGTTAATGAAAACCTCTCTCTTTGCAACAGGCAACTTGAAACAGACAAGGCTCTAGACTACAGAGCAAAAAGGAATGGTTCGTGATCATCCCTGGGAGCTAGTCATCTTACCTGTAATGACAGCTTTGAATACAGCTTTTCCCCAAGTCCCATTTATTCCTGGAGTGATGGAGAAGTTGTATAAAGTCCCCGGACTTAAGTCTGTGATGTTAATGCCTTTTTGATTTGCGCTATAATTCAGCAGCCCATTTTCACTCTCTACTTTATACTCATAATTAGAATCATCTAGGTCCTTGATTTTCCATATGAGATTCACACCGGTTGGACTTGTGGAAACAGCTTCAATGCCATACACAGGACTGGGTTCTATTTTAATATTGTTTCCCAAAAAAAAAAAAAAGAAAAGAAAACGTTATATTGACAAAAGAAATGTAAGGGCAAAGCCTGGTCTGTATATCTACTTTTCAGAAGTGAATTTAGCAATTTTAGAATTTCACTTCTCTTTATATCATCTCCTGCAATTCCCTCCACCAAAATATATTTAGCCACATACACATACATGTATACATGGGTGTTTGTGAAACAAAAGGCTTTTAAAAGGAGACTAAAATGATAGAGGTTGGCCACGTTGGCTGTGACCTGATCAAGGGTTACATCTCAAAGCGGGGACAAACAGAGACCTGAGATGCAAAGTGAGTCTATCTCGCGATTCTCAGAGAACAAAGGCGTGCGGAGAGGCATTACACAGTGCAGAAGCATCTGATCACTTTTTTGCCAAACCCTGGAATCAGGAGGAAGCTCCATAATTTTCTGGCATGAAGATGACAAGGGACAGAATCACACTAAAGGGAAAGAACTGGTCTTAGAATCCAGATCTGGACATAAGGATCTGCTCTCCCCTGCCTTAGCTGTGTGACCTGGAATTAGTCCCTTGGCACCTCCCAGCCTTGGGTTCCTCAGCTGACAGCTCAGACAGACATACAAAACACTAAACATAAAGGGTGATCACTAGGGCGTCTGGACTGGTAAACGTGGTCCCTGGATAAGGACATTTAAAAATTTGAGTTTGGAGTCCAGTTGTGCTAGTCCTTAGTCATGTGATTTTCCTCAAAGTCTTCTCACTTCTCTGAACCTCACTTCCATCATCTGTCAAATGGTGGATTAAAACCACGGACGTAATTGTGGTTATTAACAGCGACTACAATTTCAGAGTAGATGTGGCCTCACCACATTCAAGATTGAGGAGTACCAACTAGCAACAGAAGAGGAGGTGCAGCCATGAGGCCCTTCTTCTCAAGAACCTAGGGACTGACCCCAGAAGAGAAAGGGTTGGTACCGGTAAGGCCACCTCGGCATGCACGTGACCTTCACAGGCCAGTTTGGAGGGTGTGCCGAACCTGGCATCCGGGACATGCAATCATTTACTGATCCATGAAAAGGAGCAGGAGAGGAAACAAGAGAAATGAAAAAGGAACAGACAGGGAAGAGTCCTGTGGCCCACAATTCAATAGATATCACGCCAGGAGAGGCTCCAGGCTTGAGCTTCCTGCTGACAGAGTGACAGATCCACAGTATCACGTTTGGCAGCTTATCACTGGGGTGTCGATGACGATCAATGCTGATGATGGTACGGGGGCAAAAATATAACAATAACTGCAGTCACTGCGGGGGAGGCAGCAAGGACAGCAGCCCTCTTTGGGACCACGTTCCAGTCTCCGTACCAGGCGCTGTTCATCTATACATTCGCTCATTTATGCTTCACCACAAGTGCACGTGGAAGGGCACTATTTCTACAAAGGAGAAATGTGTTGAGAACTCAACTTCACCACATCGTACAGGGATTCTGGGAAGGTTTTAGAAAAGCAGGTTCTTAAGATTCAATAGTTCAGAAAATAAAGCATGTTTTAAAGTGTTTTTAAAATGTGTGTATAGTGGTTTTGGGTTTTGTTTTGGTTTTTTTTTTTAATAAAGATGAAGAAACTGAGATCTCAGAGGACTAGTGACTTGCCCAGGGCCACAGAGCTAGAAACTGACAGGGCCAGGAAGCCAACCAGGGTCTCTGATCCCAGGTCTGTGCTCCCAACTGCTTGGGCGGTAGGCCGCCCAAAGACCAGGCAGAAAGAGGGTAGGGCAGGTCTTGGAGGAGCCAGGAGATCCCCTAGCCAGGCAGCAGGGCCAGGGATGCGGAGGAGAGAGACGCAAAAAGCTGCTTTTCGCTGTGGAAGCTCAGATAAAGTGAGCTCAAATGTGATGTGGAAAGAAAGACGTTTACATTCTCTAAACCCCACAAATGATCCCAAAGGAAGAGTCTTGCTCACTTGTCCACACTTGTTGGCAGCAGGTACCAGAGCCATTTGAGTATCTGACAAGATAGCCGATCCCAGGGTCCAGCTCCCCAACTAAAACACCGTTGTCATTTTTTAATGAGAAATTCCGTGGATTCTGGCCACTCAGATCAGTCACATTTGTTACTGAAAAGTTTTCTGGCACCTTACTAATATCAATCTCGTTGGTTGTAGATGTGACTATAACCATATCACAGTAGACACCTAGAACACAAGAAAGAAAAACAAAATGCAAACTAATAAAATGCCACCCCCACCATATGCTCACTATACAACACATTTTTATTATAATGTTTTAAATTAAAATAGTTTCCCTTTCTCCCATATCTTGCTTTAAAATATCACCTCTATGGACAGACATTTTCTTTTACACCAGTGATTAAAATCTGCATGTGGTATCAGCTTATTGACCAAACTGATTAACGAGACAGAAAAAGCAACTGCAGAATTCTTCCCATTGTTTGCACAGACTTTGCATAATTACTGTTATTAGCTGAGATTTCTTTATTAGACGGTCTCAGCAGGATCCACCCCCTTTACAAGGCACTCTGAGAACAGTCAAATTATTTCATCACTATGGGTCACAAACATTGGGATTTTACCAATCCCAGAAAAAAAAAGTTCCCAAATTCTGAGGACAGACAAAAGCTACCAATTTTTTCCCAAAAGGTACATCTTTTTTTCAAGTGCCAACTACTATTCTCTTAATTTATTATTGAAACAGTTCATTGCTCAAAAGAAATTATTAAGTACATAATCCCCAACGAGATAGCACATTCAACTGAATATATTTAGCTTCATTAAGAACTTACTCTCATATCCTTATTTTTTGTCATTTTACTCTAGACCTGGGAGGACCTTCTATGGACCAGCTCTAGTTAGTAAGTGGGATGCAGCCCTCCATGTGGAAGGAAAAAATACGAGAGTCTCTCTGCTTCTCTAAAGGTTATGCAAACCTTATACACCATTTAAAAATTACAGGGCAATGTAGCAACCCAAGAAAGTACTCATGGGATCATAGCACATAAAATAAGTATAAATCATACTGCAACATCATTTCGACTAAGTTTTTTAATTATCCATGGATGTAGGTTAGGGAAAAAAAATCACTGAAAATATAAATATTTTATTTGTCCAGGTTGTACAATTGATTGAATTCCTTTTTTTTTCCCCACTAGCTGTTTCCTCCCCCACCCCACATCTAAAGAACCATTGGAGAAACTAAGTGAGTGTTCACAAATTAGCATTTTCTGTGATTTTCACATTGCTGTTAATGTTGTTGTCCATCAGAGGGCAGCAGGGAACAACACAAGAGTGGAGAAGGATGTGGTACTTACTACAGGCATCTTGGCACAAAATCTGTAACAGAAAAAGAAAACGGAAGTCAGCAGATTCACTCAGCCACAGAAAATGCAAATCAGAAATAAAGCAGCAGAGAATTTAATAATGGGGCAGGGCGCTGAGAAACCCATTAAGCAAAGGCCTGCAAGCCAAGGTTAGGGTGTGGGGATGCAATGCGGGAACTCGGTGTAACCAGGGGTCAATTACAAACAATGGCTTCACTCGGCTGTATGGAGGCTGCCCGGCTGTTGGCTTGCCAGTGTTTGTCCTCGCAGATACATCAAACACTCCTTCCTGACACTGCATCTTAAATTCACATAGAAGGACCCTGAAACAAAGTCCAGATTCTCTGGCCAGAAAAAAAGGAAGGCAGGACCATGTCAGCCTTCCCAAGAGCCATTTCCAGGTCTTGACTGCACAGGGTAAAGCCAGATGTGGGACAGAAGAAACCTACTGGCCTCAGGATTTTCATTGTGCAAACATTCACCTTCTTCCTTATACCAGTAGGTGGCAGTGGTCTTTTTTTTTCCTTTCTTTCTTTCTTTCTTTTTTTTTTTTTTTTTCTTTTTTAATCCTATGGCCTGCAGCTTTGGAAAGAATAACTGTTTGAAACAGAAGGACCTTAAAGATTTTTTAGTTGATAGTGTCTCCATCTGCCATCTTTTGGTCCCTGGGGGTCCTCAAAGATATTCATCGCAATCCATAAATTATTTCCCCATGCTTTAAAAGCCTAAGTTGTACATTCTACTGTTTAGTAAGCATGTCTTTTTTTTTTTTTTTTTTTTTTTTTTTGGTTAGCAGGATTTTTCAAAGTTCGGTCCTCGTGAACAGGAAAATAATTGAAAGGGGCCCTAGTGGGAAAAAATTGTACTCCAACCTCTCATCACACTTAGAATAAAATTCAAACTCTGAGCCATCGCCTGTGGCCCCTCAGATCTCCTCACCCCATCACGCACTTAGCAATGTTGTTGAAACTGGTTTCCCCCTTAAAGGCTTCATGGATGTATTGCCTTCTCTGAAACACTCTGCCCCAGAGTTTCCCTTGGCACGGCCTGAAGTGCCACCTCTTCAGAGAGTCCTTCTCCCACCCACCCGTGGAACTTGGTGCCCCTCACTCTCCATCACGTCACTGGTGTGCTTCCTCCTCAGCATTTACTGCCACTGTTGTCGCCTCCTCCAACTAAAGTGTATGCGCCACCAGAACAGAAATCTCGTCTGTGCCCTGTGCCAAGGACGGTGCACACAGTAGGCACTCAATCACTGCCACTGAAGGAAAGAATGGGCCCCTTATTTTGGAGGGGAGGCAATCCCTGAGGTCCAGAGATGGGAAAAAACTAGCGCCAAAGTTCCACGGCAAGGCCAAGGCTGGCTGGGTCCGGGAGCCTGATCCTCCAGCCCAGCATCTCTTCCCCTCGCCCCACCCTTTGCAACTCTTGAGTGGAGGACAAAGACAACAACCTGTTCCCATCTCATGGGTTAGGGAGACAGAAGGGAAGGCCTGTTCCCCACCCCGTCTCCCAGGGGGCTCAGGTACCAGTCCTTGAAGAAACCCAGTATTCCTCCTCTCTCTCCTCACTCCCCACAGTGGGGGCCAAGTCCCGCTGATTCTCCTACCCCACCCGCCCCCCTCTCATACTTCCAGCCCCACCGCCCACTCCACCCTCATGCCCTCATCATCTCAGACCTAAACTCCCTCAGCTCATCTCCCTGCCTTCAGCCCCAGCCCCCTCAATCCATGCCATGCGTCAGTCTACGTCGTCCAGGATGGGTCACAAGGGAGAGGGACAAAAACAATGAGTTGGTTACTAGACAAGTAGCTCAGGGCAGCAAGTGGGGCAGAGGGGATGGGGTGGGCAGTACTTGGAAACCATTAATGCTTTGTGGACAAAACCCCACAAGATACCGATACGGTAGACACTTCATAACACTTTTAGAAAGAATACAATCAACAGAAAGCTCCTCTGCCTAAACTCACTTCACAACTCAAGGATGGCATGTCCCCGCCCTTTGCACTGTTACCTGTTTGTATGTGCATCTACGCACAGGAATCCACCAAAACACTGCCGGAAAACATTCAAGCTCTGGGCCTGCCCTCAAACTTTTTACAGATAGGGAGGGTTTGTAAGTAAGTAATTCAGGGTAGACAGCCCTGACAAGCCACTGAACAAGCACTCTTGGTCTGGAGCTAAAGCAGGGGCTCACGGCAGAGGGAGAGAGGAAGGAGGGCAGGGGAACCAAACCACAGCAGGACAGATGGAGGGAACCCTGGGGTAGGTCCCATTCACTGAGGGAAGTCACAGCAGGGCGCACATGAAGTCAAAGAGTGGCTGCGCGTTTCCATCTGTGTCCTTTACTGTCCTAGACTGTGTCAAAGAGCTCTGCATTCTCAAGATGCAAGTGTAAGGATCACTATCAGGGCAAAAGGCAAGTTTCCAGAGATTAAAATCACAGCTTGGCCTCTGTATTCTCCATGAATTATACTTAATATGCACAGTGCTGACTCTGCCAGGCACCATTCCAAGCATTATACTTACAGATATTAATTCACTTAATCCTCCAACGGGCCCTGAAAGGTAGGCACAGGTCCCTGGTGGGCCCGTGGGCTGCAGGGCCTGGACCTGAATCCAGGCCATTTGTCTCCAGAGCCTGGGTCCTTAATCACTAGCTATGATACCTCCTAACCACAGAGTGGCTGGAGAAATCTATTGGGACTTAGAGAAGGCTTAAAAATTAATTGTAAACAATATTATCAGGGTTCCTTTCTTCTCTCTACCCTCCAGAAAGTCCAGCAAACAAAGTAAGAGTGTGTGTATTGTTTTGGGGTTTTGTTTTTCCTTTTGACAAATTTGAGTACGGGTTCTCCTGGCGACCCTCCCAAACAAGGCTGTAGGTGCCAGGCAAACACACCAGCCTCTCAGAGGCTCACAGTGAAACAATGGCCGGTCAGATAACACTGCACCACAAGGTTCCCCATCTTTCCTGGCCTTACTCCCCCTTGTTTCTCCTCATCGTCACCTATGTGGGCCTGATTTCCCAAATAGAGCATCAAGACTTTAATCCTGGCCTCAGGCTGACATGGGACAAGGGGACCTAAGAGAAGTCTGCGAGGGGGCTCCTGGGGAAGAACTTCCTCCCTGATAAAAAAAGAAGGACATATCATCCTGCTTTGCTGGACTCATCAGGTCTGCCTGTGATGCCTGGAGCAGCTGCAGCCACTGTGTGACAAGGAGGGGAGAAATCACCCACCTGTTGAAGATGGCAGATGAGGAGAAAGAGGGAAAACACCTGGCTCCTTGAGCTACTAACTCAACCAATCCTAGGATCCTTTCTACCTCCAGACTTCTTGGCCAGGGACGTGCAACACCCCTTATTATTTAATGACTCTTGTTTGGGTTGTCTATTATTTGCAACCAACAGATCACTAGTTGACACTGTAACAATAGCAAAGCAAGGCAACTAATTTTCACATTTTCCAGATGAAGAAAGTGAAAGGCCAATGATCTGTCATCCAGTGTCACAGGGCTGGTCAGTGAGAGGCAAAGCCAGCATGTAAGTCCACATCAGCCAGGCCCCAAACTCTTCCAGTGAGCACAGAAAAAGACCGTTGCAAACAACACCCCTCAAGATGCCCCGCATGGCGGACACTGTCATAAATATTTTTTAAAAGAATACAATCAACACAAAGCTCGTCTTTCTAAAATTAGCTTGAAGCCTCATTGCGCCTGGGGATGAAACGGAAAGAAACCCATTTCCACAGATTCATACACTAAGCACCAAAGTTAACTGCAAAAAAAGGAAGCTGGGGACAAGTTTCCAGAAGTGACAGCTAAACATGATGATGAAAATAACTTTAGTCCTTCCCCTTCTAAGAGGACCCAAAAAGGCCCCAGTGGTTGTTAATCAAAAAGGATTCCTTTTTCTTAAATAAGCCTCTTTAACATTTAAGAAAAAGAGAGTTCAAAACTATGAACATTAAAATGGCAAAAAGTGCACAGCTATCAACAACTGAATCTAAAAAAAAAACAAACTAAGCAAACAACCAGAACAGGAACAGAATCAAAGATATGGAGAACATTTGGAGGGTCATCAGCTGGGAGGGGGAAGGGAGAAAGCAAGGGTTAATAAGCATGATTGGTAGGTACAAAATAGACAGGGGGCCCTGGCTGGTGTGGCTCAGTGGACTGAGCTCCAGCCTGCGAACCAGTCACCGGTTCGATTCCCAGTCAGGGCACATGCCTGGGCTGCAGGTGGGGTCCCCAGCTCGGGGTGTATGAGAGGCAACCACATATCAATGTTTCTCTCCCTCTCTTTCTCTCTCCCTTCCCCTCTCTCTAAAAATAAATAAAATCATTTTTTTAAATAGACAGGGATGTTAAGAATAGCATAGGAAATGAGAAGCCAAAGAACTTATATGCATGACCCATGGACACGAACTAAGGCAGGGGGTGGGGCGATGTTCCTGGAGGGAAGCGGGGTACCAGGCAGAGGAGTGCAAAGGGGGAAAAATTGGGACAACTGTAATAGCATAATCAATAAAATTATTTTTTTAAAAAGGATTCCACCAAACTCATTCCAAGCTTGAAAGGCCCTGTGACCTCCCGTAACAGTCCCTCACCCAGCAGCTCCAAATCCTGGCAGGGGAGGAATCAAGCCTCGCGCAAGCTGCATCTCATCGAATCCCCACAGCGCCTCGGGAAAATGGGGGTGATAATCCCCCCCCCCCATTTTCCAGAGGAGGATACTGAGGCTCAGAGGACACAACCTGAGGTCACAGAGCTCCTGGGCTATGCTATACAAACCTGCCCCGGGGCCAGGAGGCAGAGGTGGAAAGAGCTGCTGCAAGAGCTGCTTTGGGCGGAGATAAAACCAGCACTTTCCACTTTCCACGTCCCTCTGGGCAGAAATTAACCCAGATGGAGTATGCAGAGCCAAGCCCAGGGCCAGGACACGGGCGGGCTCCAGGGTCCTTTCCCTTCTCCATCTGAGGCTCCCTCCCCTCCCCGCCCTCTCCCGAGGTC